CCAGTCCTAATTTAGAAGCAATTTTTATGGTTTGCATATTTTACAAGCCAAAATATCACCAGCATCACGTTTACAACTAAACATTTGCTTTAAATATTGTAAACTTAGAGATTATAACAGAAGACTTTAGTCTTGGCTGAACTCAGTCAGCTCATCAGTCCTGCCCTCCATTATTAGAGCTCATTTAGGATGCTATCAGTAACAGGTGGGCTTGTAATTATCTATAAAACTTTACAAAGAAACACTTTGAATGGCTAAAATAGGTTCTCAGGTACAAAACAACGTGATCCAATGAGCTGTACTCGGATCTGTTGACCAGAAGCCAAACAGGAGAAGTACATCACTTTCACAATCAGGGGCCTCGTTTATCAAGCTTGCTTACGCACAAAACGGGGTCAGAAAACTGTGTAAGCAACTTTGCACGCAAACTTTGGGATTTATGAAAGAAAATGTAGCGGGGAAATGTGCGCAACTTTAAGTTGACTAAGGACCTGGCTTACACACATTTTGGACATGAGAGCACCTGCAGTGCTGCTGCTGAGAGGATACAATTATGAAATCCTGCAGCATTATCACTTGTACTGCTTCGTTTTCACACAGAACAAGAACGCGCACGCACACACACACAATAAGGAATGCAGAATATCAGCAGGGGGACAGATTGAGACAGAATGTCATGCGTCTGTGACAGTGTAAGTGTCCTGTCACTGTGATCTGATTGATCGTGCACCTTGGCTACTTGTATAAGGGAGATCTCTGTTTGGCTGACTGGTTAGCATGCGTGACTTTCACCCCGGAGTCTGGGGATGGAATCCTGATCCGGATCTTTTTTTTTATCCGCCACGGATCTCTCCGATGAAATCAGCATTGACGGCTTCAGCAATGCTGTGCCACTCCGGATTTTCTCTTATTTGTTTTGCAAAAGCACTTCCTTTCATTTCTCCACCTCACCCACATGTACCTGAATTTCTGCTTGAGAAACAGAGCTTCCTTGATCTGCAGTCATGATCGAAATGCTGCAACAAGCCGGCTTATGTATATGCATGAGATCCACAAGGCACTTTGCATTGACCATTTATGGCAATAAGTGGGCGTGGTGAGGGCGGGATGTGAGTAAAAAGCAGCTGAGAACATTTGTAGATAGTTTCTGATTCATGAAGCGGAGATTGCATGCAGCTGTGCGTACTCTATGTTTGATAGATCACAAACCTACTTGGCGTAAGTACTTTTTTTTTGCTGCGCTTAAGTACGGTTTTAGTAAAGATTCTATGCAATGTTTGACAAATGAGACCCCAGAGCCTTAATAACTCACTATTTGCTTAATTATTAAAAAATAAACCTGGGACTAATAACGCAAGCATCTAATGAGGAGGAAAAGAAAATTCTTAACATTTTATTTTCACCTTTCAGTCAATTATTTGCTCCTTTTCATGAAAGTCAAAGTTGTTAAAAACAGAAGAAAAAAAATTGATGGAATATAATTAAGTTCCCTGAACAGCTCACAGCTCCTGAGATGAAAAGGTAAAAGTGCTTTGATAAAATCAGAGACTCTTTTGTTTCAGCTTGTGTTTAATGCTTCATTCGCAAAGGACTACTTTTCTGCTCCACTGCACAGAACATTACAGGAGAATCTTATCTGATCACCACATGTGCAATAAAGCAATGAGAATACTGTTAAAACAAAACCAAGGGAGGTGTATGTTACCATTTCTTTATGAGCTCCTTAAAGGAAATAAAACAGCTGCTGGGACGTAAATAAAGTCTTGAAGAGATGATGCAGACACAAGGGCGCTTTGGGGAAAGTTAGATTTTCAGGCTTTTGACAGAAATCACATCCAAACGGGTAAGGAGAAAACATTTCTACAGCTTTCTTATTTGTCATAACATCAGATAAAAATGGCTTACATAAAATACTATATTAACTCACTTACAACCTACATTACTCATCGCCTTTTGCAGTGATTAACACACCGACCAGGACCTCAGGGACAAGGACCCCTTCAGTCCTCCACAGCTGCACCATGAAATATAGAGAGGAGTTTATTTGGACTTTATTGTAAAACAAAGGCAATTCTTTGACTTTCAGGTGAGAAATATCTAATGCATTTTATTTGTTTATGTTTCCGTATGCAGTGCACTTTAACTAAAAAGATGAAAGCTTTGGAAAGTAAATTCTGCACTAGGGCTGCAACAAACGATTATTTGGATAATCGATTAATCGGATGGGGTCTCGACACGATTAATCAATTAATCGGATTACATAGGGAAATTTTTAAAAACTGCAAGGGGAAACATTTTTTCTCTCCTTCCTTCATTTAAACACAACGTTATTAGAAAATAGTTCAATAGCAGAAAAACAACATGCTAGTATCACCTAAAATGTCGTACAGCTGCTATTTGTGATGACTGCTGCTTGTTGAGGTGTGCATGATTTGCTTGACAATAATAAGCTGCTCAGTTTTGTTGTTTTGCCCTGGAGATCATAAAGAATAAAGTCAGCCTATTAGGACACAACATGAACATTTAGCATAGCAAGTAAGAAAGTGTTGACTCCACCCAGCCCCTTCCATGTGTACCATGCGGTTCGCCAGACAACACCTCATTCTGCCTAATTTAAAAAAAAAATGAAAAACCAGAAATGAAGCCTTCAGAATACTTTGGAAGGGGGTGAGCAAGGGAGGATAAGGTGTATAGACAGAGACCCTAAGCTACACCTATCTGTGACCTAAAATGCTTGGTCCAAGTTAAACAGCTTCAGGCAATTCTCATCTGTCTTGTTTGATCTCATATGTAGACAATTATTATAATTGGGGATGTCAAACGACTAATTTTCAAATGTAATTAAACACAGGCTGTGAATTAATCAAAATTAATCACCATTTCCAAAAATGACTGGAAAAATACCAAATAAAACAAAAAAATAATGGATGCCGCCCTCCTTGTGACGTTGCCCTGGGCAACCGCCATGAAGTCACATCAAGAAATGCTGCTGAACGTTCCAATGATCCCAAATTCCATTTCCAAAACATCACCAAACAACTTAACATTTTAAATGGACTCACATTAGGCCACATGAAAGCAACTGAACCCAAAAATACATTAACCAGTATATAACTGCACTCTCATACAACACGCCTGCAGCAACAGTTAGGACTCCTCCCTCCCTTTTAAAAGTGTTTTTGCTTCCGAGGACATTGTGGTTGTAAAACCACATGTTAGTAGTCTGGCCCCGGTGTGATCAACCAGTTTCTGCGGGAATGTGATGGCGGAACCGGTTCGCAGCAGCGCGAGTCTACGGGAAGCCCCCCCCCCCCCCCCCCCCCCCCCCCCCCGTCCAGTTTCTGTACGGCTTCTGCATAGACCAAAAATCACAGAGTCCAATCAGAGCACTCACACTGGCTGAGGTGTAGTGCAGATCCGGATGCAGCAGAGCTCCGGGAAGTTTCTGCAAGGGGTCTATTTTTCCATATGTTACATGCAGATTTTCATAAAGTTAAAGAACTTACATGGGCCAAACAGGAAATGAGATGTGCTTCAGTCTGTATGTTTCAAAATAAAACCCATATTGCATTATTTTTTCCAGGTTTTGTTCTATTATTAATGACGGGGATGTTTCAGGAACTAGTAGAATGCCACATCAGAGGAATGATTAACACAGCAAGATTTGGAGTCTCATTTCCTGATATTTGGACATCTTGCCTTTGATTGGCTAACAGCAACGTGACTCTACCACTGACTCCTTTTGCTTTGAGACAATGTTTTATCTCCACAAATAACAAAAGCCTGGAGGAGTTTTGCTGTGTGGTGGAGTTGCTGATGCTAATGATTAGCTTCTATAGCCGAGAAGTTCTCTGCTGTTTCCTAGACGCTAAACCAGTAATAACCCTCCCCGTCGTGAGTCAAGATGGGTGAGTCCATGAATGTTAAGTGACAGTGTGACATAGATCTGTCAGGACTTTCTAATCCTTGAGTTCCACCGTCTGTTTTCTATGAGAAGCTAATGCAGAAGATAGGTGTAGGAGATAGTTTTTATGTCCAGCCTGCATGAAAAACTCAAAGTGATTATGATCAGAAATACTCATTAAAAATGTTTTCAGTGTTCCACACATTTTAACATGACTTGTCAAATTTCTAATTATTTAGTTTTCTTGTAGGAGCAGATTTCCTGAGACATTCATCATACAGTGGAAATGGCAGTCCATAACCGGACCCCCTCTGTACCACATTCAGTGTGAAACAGGCCTTAGACTTTCACAGGCCAAAATTCGATTTTAACAAAATGTAAATAAGCGAACATCTATCGATGAATTGATAACTATCTGATTTTAAGTGTGCACTAAATAGAGCTCCACAGGAAATGATTGGAAACCGTTTAAAAGACGATGTGTGCCAAAGCAACATGTTTTTTTTATTTTACCAGCTTTTATTGAACAGTCAGATTCACAATACTACACTTGTTTGTCTGCTACACACACAGATATGAATAACCAGCTCTTCCAGCTGATTTAGGAGCAGTTTACTCCCCAAAGCTAAGAGGGTATTGATCTGTGAGCTCACAGAAAGCACAAGCTTTAGCCCGCTGGCAGAGGAGTCCCTCACGGTGAACCTAATCACTTTCAAAACCTCTTAAATTCAGACAAACTTGTAAACAAGTATGTCAGGGTGGCTGGAATGATTTATATGGGGTGGCATATAAACACTGAGCATGCGCAGAGCGCTCCAGTCGTAACCTCACTACATTACTGAGTGGTCATTTAGAACGCCCTACAATCACACAATAGCTGCATTTAAGTATATTATTCCACACATAGCTATAAACCAGACAGAACCATCAATAAAATCCATCTAGACACGAGTCATTTCCAGCAGCTACTTCTGTTCACACATGATCAACACGGAGCAGCTCAGCACCGAACAAGACACTCAGCTTCAAACCCTCATGCCACCTCTAACACTTCCGTGTTAAACTACTAAAACATCAGTCCAGATTTTTTTCATACCTGTCGCTTGTCCTGAAACCTTCACGCCGTCTGCAGCATCCTTCAGGGCGCAGACATCTTTGAACGAACACAGCGGGCTGGTTGCTGCTGTAGCTCACAGTGGTGTCTCCTGCTGGTTTGGAGGAGCAACTGCAGGAAAACTGATTAGGACGCACAGGCTGCTGAGACACGATGTATGCACGTATTACATCACATTTAAATAGTTTCTTCTATTAAGTCAAACTTCCGGGAGTAACTCTATGAAACTTGTTGCTGTCCTAATTAACACTCTGGAGATGAGGAGAGTTGGCTTCATCCTGACTGCTCCCTGAACCTAGGATGAGTGACAGAAGAATGCTGTCCAAATACAAATCCATTTTGGACGACCCCTTCACCTCCGCATGGTGCTATGGGAGCTAAGCAGCTCCTTCAGCTGCTGCTCTCACCTTGCAGGATTGAAGTCAGGTCAGGTTCATTCTCCCATCTGCAACAAAGTCTACTGCACCATCGTGTGTGTGTGTGTGTGTGTGTGTGTGTGTGTGTGTGTGTGTGTGTGTGTGTGTGTGTGTGTGTGTGTGTGTGTGTGTGTGTGTGTGTGTGTGTGTGTGTGTGTGTGTGTGTGTGTGTGTGTGTGTGTGTGTGTGTGTGTGTGTGTGTGTGTGTGTGTGTGTGTGTGTGTGTGTGTGTGTGTGTGTGTGTGTGTGTTTGTTTTGATTTAGCACACAAAAAAATTAAATGACCAATTCTGGGTTATTGATTTGGGTGTGGAGGGTGGCAAGTGTCTTTGTTATGGTGCTGTTTTTAAACAAAAAAAATGTTTGAGTCCACACAAAAAAATAATTCCTAAATGCTCTGTATGTAGAGAATGATTTTTAAGTTTTTGAATCTTAAATCTGCAGCTCTTTTGCATTTTGTTTACTGCGTTTCAGTATTCTTGCATTTGATAAGGATCAGTGTCACTACTGGAAACAAGTTGTTACATGGACCTTAGAGAATACACAGGCAGCCCTACCAAGATGGCACATATTGATGTGCCATAGACAAAAGGCTTGTAGGTCAGACGCTGTCATCCTGAGCTTTTAACAGATACGAGTAGATTCACTCTGAGTTTGTGACAGAGGACGCTACAGTAAACATGCTGTCTGCTACATTGTTCAGCAAGATGGGTTTGGTGGAGGGTCAGTGTCAATCTGAGGAGGTACATCTATGTAGACCTGTACAGGACAGACAGCAGCACTTGACCAGCAAGCTGACAAAGAGTCTGACTTTGGGAACCAGCTTGTCTGGGGCACAGATGAGGATCTCAGTCTTATCTTCATTCAGCTGTAGAAAGTTCCCAGCCAACCAGGTTTTAATAGAGTCTAAGCAGGTGTGTAACAGCTGCAGCTTAAACATCTCATGGGGCTTAAAGGAGATGTACAGTTGGATGTCATCTGCATTAAGATGGCAGGAGACTCCTTTAAAGGAGTTCAGGATGTGCTGAAGAAGAAGCAGATAGGAGAAAGAAGAGCAGAGGCCCCAGCACAAAATCTTGTGGGACACCATGGGTAAAGAAGGTAGCGGAGGACCAAACCTTGGAGACGGCCACAGAGAATGAATGCTCAGACAGATAAAAGAACCACTCCAGAGCAGTTCCTGATAGGCTGAGATACTGGGTAGGCCTATGTAGTAGCATGTGATGGTCAACAGCATCAAAGGCTGCAGTCAGGTCCAACAGGACCAGAACAGAACAGTCCCTTGTATCACTGTCAGTCAGAAGGTCATTAGAGACATTAAGAAGAGCTGTTTCAGTAGAAAGTCAGTAAACCTGACTGGAAGCTATCATAAATGTTCATCAAGAGCAGCTGTGAGTTGTTTAGCCTCAACCTGTTCCAAGATCTTGGAGATGAATGGAAGTTTAGAGATGGGTCTGAAGCTGCTATGGAGAGAGGGGTCGAGACTCGTTTTTTAAGAAGCGGGTGGATTACAGCGTTCTTAAAGTAAGCAGGGACCTGACCAGAAACCAGAGAAGCATCAAGCGCACACAAGAATGAAAAGCATTTTTAAACAATGAGGTTAAGATGTCGAGAGCGCATGCAGAGGTCTTCATGGAGTTAACTAGTTTAGTTTGTGAAGGAATATGCAAGCACCTCCTACAAGATGTAAGGATAGGCAACACTGATGGGCCTCCATTCTTGCATGACCTAAATCAAACGGTAGATCCAAGACATGTTTAGTATCAGACATCACCAGGCTGCACTTAGGGATGCTCTGGTCAGGATCTATGAGGACACGGGATACCATAAAGAGAATGTCTCAATGATTGCAGACTTCCATAAAAGCTCATGACCGTAAAAACCACAGAGAACTATTCTGAGTTACAGCAGTGTTGCTTCAGCAAACTGGACTGGCCCAACGTTGGTTTGTACTTCTCAAGTGACTTCAAATTACCACTTCTTTAATCATTTTAATCAAATCAAAATGCTGTGCCATCCTTGTGTCCTTAACAGATTACTACTCCCCCCCCCCCCCCCCCCCCCCCCCCACACACACACGTTTAACATTTATTTAGCAAACTTTAATCCAAAATAATCTGCTTTAACAGATTCTGCAAAGTACAGAAAAGAAATAAAATCACAATATATATATATATTTCATTAGGAATAAATTCTAATTTTATTTACACATCTTCAAGTGTTTCTAGATATCTGCAGTTCATGCTTTGATAAATGTAATTATTTAGAAATTTTGAGCCATTTCCTTAAATAAACAGAAAAGGTCATTTGGGATAATCCGTTAAGTTAAAACACCACCATAGTGCTCAAAGTGCAACATTATTTAACAAGATTACCCTTTAAAAAGTGCAGGGAGAACATACATAAATTGTTTCCCTGAGAGAATTCGATAAACAGTATTCCAGACTGGCTTCAGTGATGACCCACCAAAAGGAAAAAAGTCACAGTGGGTCTGAGGTAATACACATACACATAGTCCCAAACATGTTAAGACTTTTAATGATGGTCTAGTTTAAAAACATCAGAATAGTTTAAATAAAAACACATTCAGGGTTTGACAGAACCGTTGCAGGAGCTGGTCGCTTTCTGCAGAATGGCGGCGCTCACAGCTAAGGAATGCTCGTTGGGCAGAAACTGTCCCAACAGGAAGGAAAGAAGCGTCTGTAGGTAAAAATGAATGAATGATTAAAGGTGGAGCAAAGGAGGACTGACATAAACACTGGGGTACTCACGTAGACCAGAGACTGATTCTCCTCGCTGTTCTGGAAAATATTAAACACAGACTCCACATCAGTCTTCTTCAGGATGAGGAAGTTTGAATCTGTGCAGAAAAACAAAGAGTCGGATTTACCTGCATGATCGTTAAAGAGAAAAACACCTAAAGGTCACCTACATCGTGTGTTAATGAGGTCATGTGCTCGCTCTCTGGTCTCTTTCTTCTCCTCAGCAGTGCGAGGAGGTGGAGTAGGTGGAGGTGCTGCTTGTTGAATCTCCGGCCACAGTTTCCTCCGCATCGTGTCGACATGTGCAGCCATCGTCTCCTCTGTTGGGTTCAGCTTGTTCAGGAAAGTGTTGATTTTCCTGCAGAATTAGGAATTAGGATCGTGCGCAGTTTAAAATAAGAAATGAAACAACACAAAGGGAATAAAACTTACTTTTTCAAGATGGGCATCACTGGTTTTAAAATAGCATCAAAGATGTTGATGAGGATCGAGTTTCCTGTGTGGACAGAGAGTAATGACGCTTAAGCTTCCCACAAACATAAAACACTTTAAGATCCAGTTGAGCCTGCAGGGGAGGTTTAGAAGGGTTTTCTGCCCCCTGGTGGAAATATTCAGAATTTTTACCTCAGTGAAACAAATTTTCAGCGGTCTGAAGTTTGCCTACGGTCGCTCCTTTTTCATGTCTGCATTATTTAAACACTTTTTAAAAATCTAATGAATGTTTCAGACCTTGACGCTTTGAATAGTTTAGAAACCCAACATGGTTTTAATAATAAACCTTCATTTTATGTTTAAAAACACTGAATATGATGCAGCTGTCTGCATTCTATCACTTATGTTCACTAGAAACAAGCAATGCTCTAAAAACTAGAAATCCCACATTGATTAATGACTGCAGGATTTGCTTTCCGGGGACAGTTGTAGGTCTTTACAGGCAGTTTTTCCTTTTCTTCCAGGAGTAAAACAACCAGCTGTCAAAAGTTCAGAGGAAAAATCAATAAGGAGTAAAGGAAAAAAAAACTGCTGTATGATAAAACATTTAAAATACACAACAATTTCATCTTATATTTAGACTGAACCAACCTGATATTTCTTTCAGCAGCTCAAATATGGCCTTAGTTGCCTCAAGCTGCTCCCAGTTGCCTTGACCTTGCTGCGACTCCTCTCCTCTCAGCGGTGCTCCAGAAGTCTCCTTTCCTTTGGCCTTGTTCGCTCCTGTAGACATCTTAGGACCAGTCTTCTCCTTTTTATTCAACTTTATACTGGGATTAACCAAAGACCGCCCCTCTGTGCCTTCCTGCTGCAAGCCTTCTCTTTCATCCAGCTGCTCCTCATCAATGCTGCTCCTCGGCGAGACCAGAGACTCCTGTGACCTGGATCTGGTCACTCCTCTGATGAACGTTTTAAAGTGAGCTGTTAGGGTTTTATCAGAGTCCTCTGGTTTATCCTGGGGGCGGTTTTCATGTGAGGAGTTAACAGACGGCTTTGGATCTGAATTCATTCCTGCCTCCTTGGGCAGCTGTGTAGGAGAATTATACTGGGAGACAACAATGGTTGGGAGGGGAGCACCAGGGATGTCTCTGCTGCCTTCAGCTGAAGCTGGCCGTGCATTTTCTTTTGGGACTTCTGTCTGAGAGTTCAAGTTCTGCAAGAAAAACAAAACCTGTTTGTGACGAGACAGTTGACTCTGAGAATGACCTTTGTGGTGCAAAACAACCCCAAATAAATGAGCAGCAAATGGCTGATTCCAAACATTCTCATTTCACTTGGAATGCTGAAGTGCTCTATGATGAAGTGATGATTTCACTCTTCTAAAGTCACAATTTAAATAAATATTTAAAAAAATGTGGATATGGCCGGGGAGAGGACGGTCTGGAGCGCCCTAGTTGGGATGCTGCCCCCGCGACCCGGACCCGGATAAGCGGAAGAAGACGACAACTTTGAAACATTCCTGAACACCCATGTAATCAGGTAAAGCTGTGTTCGCCTTTGTTCTGCAACAGGATGTTCTGGGGGTTTATGGTTGAACATGAGGCAAGAGGCTCATGATCAATAGAGGAAGTGAAGAGAAGCCATCATGTTGATGAATGAAGAACAATAATCACAGACTTTCTTTGTCAGCGCGTTGGTTTTGCTGAGTGAAGAAACTGCTTTTGAAAGCTCCACAACTGAGAAAAACGAGATGCAACAACAGTTTCAGAGATCAGAGACATGTGATCTGCTGTGTTGCATCTGCTCTGCAGATCAGTGACACTCTAATGTTGGAAGTTCACACCGACACCCTTCATCCCCCACAGAGACAAGTACATCTAGTCTCTACATGATGGGCCGACATTTACCAAAAGAACCGGTCATCAGCAGAGAGCCTCATGGTCACACCGAGGTGACCTTTAAATTATTATTTCATAAAACGTGCTCCCATCAGAACCCGTCAAGGGTGGATTTGGTAACATCTGTTCTGCTCGTGTGAATCTAGCCAACAGCTCAGAGCTCAGCTGATTTTAAATCAGATTCTGTTGCTGTAGCTTACACGTAGGATGACAAAAAGCAAAAACAAAGTTCAGAATTAAACAAGCATTATGTAAAAGAATTACATTTAGAACGACTATAATCAAATATTACATTATCTTAATAAAGGGATGAGCTAGACCACCTGTGGATGCCTCTTAAGACGATTTAGCTGTCAATCATGTCTGAGACTCGACAGCAGTTTGTTTACAACAAAACGATGCCATTTAGTCTAATTGCAATCACTGAACAAAGAAAAAAAAACACATACCAGCAAACATACCTGGCAAAACATGCAAGGATATTACATAAATGCCATGTGATTTTATGTTCGATTTCGTCAGTGTGCTCTCAGACTTTTATGGTTGCACTGTGTTCAGCTGCATGAAACACTTGCAAAGAAAGGTCCATAAAGTGTGCTGTCATTAATAAAAAAGTGCTACATCTATCTGTGCTCAGCTGCTATCATGCAACAGTTACCAGATGCAGAGGTAAACAAATTTCTGACTGATTACAGAGGAAACAAACACACAGATGCTAGTGTACCACAGTTCATTTACTGAAACAGAAGTTGCCGATGTTTTGCAATGAAAGTAATAATCACATTTGTTTAACCTGGTTTATGAACCTAAAATCATTTAATTTTTTTTTAAACAAATTATCTCCAATTGTTTGCAACGTGCAAATATTCAAGATACCTAAATGATTATTGAAATATATTGACTCCCCACTGTAACTAGTGAATTTCCCCACTGTGGGATCAATAGTCTATCCTATTCTATTCTAATATTCGTTTTTGACCTGATTTGTTCCCCACAGGATCATAGAGGACAGCAGAAAGATGGTCTAAATGACAATTTCTTAAATAGTTTAATGTACATTTTTGTTACTTCAAAGGGAACATATTACATAAACGTCACCTTTTGCATCCTTTGTGCTGCCACGTGGGTCTGGGCTGCCTCTATAAACGCTCCAAACATGAATAAAATCCATCCATTTTCTGTCAGTGTTCGGTTTTAGGAATTACGTGCCTAAATAAGGGTTTAAAAAGTCCCTCATTTGTGATGTCACAAAAGGGAAAATGAACATGGAGCAATCTCTCATGTGCAAGATAAAGCTTCTGCTTGAGGAACAATGTCTCTGCTTCGAGACCCTCCCAGATACTGGCACTTCACAGCTTATTGACCTGTTGCACCTACGTCACCTCACCACATGGGTCCACCACGTTGGATGTTAGAGTGGTTACATGTGCATCGAGCTACGACAATAGTCAAGCTAATACCTCAACCAGACTGGGAGCCTTCATCCTAGTTTACATGTGCGTTGAAAAACAGAATTACTGAATGAGGAACATTTGACTCCCCAACGGTGAGTGGTAACCTGTGCCCTTTCATTTCTGCAATCTTCCAGTTAGCCTCTAGCAACATGAATGGTAAACAAACACAGGCGGAGTAAAAACAGGATATGCACAATCCTGTTTGTAGTGATGATCTAAAACTGAAACTACTCAAACGTTTGTCATATTTTTTTAAATGGTAAACACCTGTTTCTTATATAAGTTAATCATTGGCCTACTTTAACCAAAGCAGCAGAGAACATTACCTCTTCTTCCTCTTGAACCGGAGAGAGAAAGCAGGCCAATCCACTGAGGAGGCCCCACACGCCGTGATGTTCTTCTTCATTCAGCAGTTTTTCCAGAGGACACAGGAACTGAAAGACTGGTTGAGTGGGTCCAAACGTTTCATCAGAAACCAATTTCTATAGGATGAATGTGATTAAACAGTCAGTCTTTTCAGTGTTAATCAAAAACATTCATGCAGAAACTGATCCGAGTTCCCAGACCTGCAGGAAGTGTTCGACTGATTTTCTGACTTCCTCTTTAACCTCGTCGCCGACGTCAGACTCCTTCATGTCACAGATGGTGGGAAGGCAGGTGGAGTGCTGAAGGGTGAGAAAAATTGCCTTAAAGCACAAAAAACTTGAAGTTTTAACACTTTACAATTTAAACCATTCACACACTCAGTGCCAAGTTATCATGTGCTATCCCTTATTTCTTAGCATGACCTTAGTTTGAAACTCTGATATGAAAGGTGATTTTTATTGCTGCAAGGAATGCTAAAGGAATTAATTTCATGGTGGGGAAGTTGGTAGCACTGTTGCTTTGCAGCAAAAAGGTTGTGGGTTCAAATCCCAGCTGTGGCCTTTCTGTGCAGATTTAACATGTTCTTTCCATGCGTGGTTTTCTCCAGGTCCTGCTGACCAAAAACATGCATGTTTGGTTAAAACTGTAAGTTGCTTTTGATAAAAGTGTCTACTAAACAAATAACATCAGTTGTTTTTGATGGTAAACTAACCCTCAGTAAGGCAGGAGTTTTGTTTTAGACAAGGATAAACAGAAGACATACTTATCTTTATGCCAAATAACAAACCCACAATTTACTGGTTTCTTGCATTTCACTCACTTTTTTATTTGGTAAACCTAATAAAATCCAGTGAAATATACTTGTTCACTGGTTTCAGGCTCTAAACTGATAATTAGTTCAATAAATCCATGTTTCAAAAAGTTCGGATAGTTTTAAACTGTAATTATAACATTTGAGATTTTTATGTGAGTGTTCCACTGAGTGATTTGCAAACACTGGAGAAATGCAAATGAACTACTGTCAACACTCTCCTCTCTCAAACAACACATTTTTAAATAAGGACAAATTTAAGCTACGAAACAAAAATACATTTATAAAGTTACACAAGTTCTGCTTTGAGGACAATTGGGGATTCAGCTGGAAGAGACACTGAGAAAATAGCTTTTTAATTCTGGTTTGTGATGAAAATCACCAACAATAAACCAAGAAAACATCAAACTGGGAGTGGGGCGACAGTGTGAACAAAGAGCATAAGCAAGCCATATGTCCGTCTGGCATTCATTGATGGTCTGGATATTCCCAGTACATCATGGACAGCGAGTGGTGCGCCAACTTTCTTTGTTGCTTTCCGCTCATCTAACAAGGGCGTTAGCAGTAGCTCAGCGTCCTGTGGTCAGCATTACCATGACCAGTGTTTATATACCATTAATGCTAAAGTGGGTTGGGACATGCAGATTTGAGGGGTGTGTTTTGCTTATGATCCATTAGGCCAGCTTTTCTCAGAGTGAACCTTTTCTCAGGCCGTTACAACATTACTAACTTACATAGGAAAACAAGTAAGAGACGGCACATGCTTTAGCATGCTACATTAGACACCCCAAGCTGCCTATATTCAAAAACAACAAGGTAAATGTGAGATAAGATTGAATGCCCCTTAAAGAATAATGATAAATAATAGTAATTAGGGATGTCCCGAACCGATCACATGATCGGAAATCAGCCCCGATCACGTGGTTTCAGACTGATCGGGACTCGGGCTTTACTTCCCGATCCGAACTCGGATACTGGGTTCAAATTACAGGAGAGCAACTTGGTTCTCCGATGCCCTTAACTTACACACCCAGAAGGAGCACAAAAGAGATCCAGTTTCTACCTACATTATATTATTTATATGGACTCAGCGTAGAGGGGATTCTTTTGAGCAGAGATGCAGAGAGCGGCAGGCAGACCGCTGATTATTCATGAACTCCAGCTGCCTTCTGCACACGGCCACAGTAACATTTTCTAACTTTCTAAGTGGCAACACCAAAAATATACAATTAACACACAGTCATTCGTGTCTGCTCATTTTCTCTCTGGTAAGTTCTGTCTGTATTTGAGCATGACGTGTGGACGCGCTCGCGCTGCAGCAGCCGGGCAGCGCAGCGCACACTCCGCCTTTTTTTGCGGTCAATAGATCAATTTGATCTACTAGTTAAAAAGTTACTTGTGAGGTGAAAAAGAAGGAAGCAGGCAGGAGTTTTCTGGAGGACTGGGAGATGCAGGAAGATCAGAGACAGACAGGACTGGAAGATAGGAAAATAAAAACCAAGAAAACAAAACAAAGTTCTTAAAAAAAAGAAAATGTAGGTAGATTTATCCCACTACACGTTTGTACCTGTATAAAGTACTAATTCATCAGCAAGTAGTATTTATATAGTTGATACAATTCAGATCATCTTCAAAACTCCATCCCATGCCCAGAGAGATATCTAAGCATTTTGGGGTCCGAGGCAAAATAGACCCCTGTGAGGTATTTTAAGTTGAAGTGCTACCTGTTTTTGTATTAGACTTTTTATATTTGCAATTAAGTCCAAAAGTGGAGAATTTATGTTATTACTTGATTGTTCAAGCTACCTCACAGAAGTGAGCGGTTGTTAAAAATTCAAATAAAAAGGTAATTAACTAAAAAATAAGGAACATTCTGGAACTGTTTCTTCCTTTTCTTTTCTTTTTTTTATGTATCGAAAGTATCGGATCGGGACTCCATATCGGCAGATTCTCAAAATCAAATGACTCGGACTCGAGGGCAAAAAAAACCTGATCGGGACATCCCTAATAGTAATGTAAATAATTGCTCCTCTAACCCTAAAGCAACAAACTGACAAGACAGCTCTGCCAGCCTACAGAAGTGTACAGCTGTGTTCAAAGACAACAGGTCCATCACCAAAACACTTCCAACAAGAACAGAACCGGACTTGAGAAAATTGCAAACAACAAAAAGAACTGAAACATTACACTAGGCAGCCCAGCTCTGGCCTTGCTTCCTGCTCAGCTGCTCCAAGCCAAGAACACATGATTCATGCACAGAGGAGAGATGTTCAGAAGATGGGACAGGTTATGATCCCTATGATCCCCAGACTGTTGTTCTTCCGGCACTCGCAGAGTACAGACGCTTCTGCTTTTGCTCCCTTATCTTTTTTTCCCAAGGCTCTTTGTCCCGTCTGCCTACAGAGCCCTTCTCTGCATTTCTTCTGGAAATCCCCTTTTTTAGAAATGGATTTAATTAATTGGTCATTCAACGCGATTGATAAGATTTTTTCTACGATGAGAACGGAGGAGGGGGCTCCCACTTGCCCGCAAGGGACACACGCAGCGGGATATGCGCTCGATTCCTGGAAGGTGTGGAGGATCGTATGTCTCTCTCAGCTGTCCACTGAGGATGTCGAAGACGTGTGGATATTTGGCCTGATGATCACTAGATTTCTTCTGATTGGAGTGGGAGGATATCTGGTTTTCTGGAAATTTGGGAAGACAGGAGCGATTGGAGGGCGACCCGCAACCACGGGAAGCACCGCCCGGGCGGAGACCTCACAGACTGGGACGTTACTCGAGGTGAATCGTAAGCTGGACAATGTCTTAGCTGCGTTACCGGTGTTAGTGCGCAAAATGTATGTCATCTCGGAGAGGGTCACCGGACGGTGTGGAGATGTTTAAAACCTAAATCGGCTTCACTGAAGGACTGGAATGACCAGTTACAGACTGAAGGCAGAGAGGAAAATTATCTCTGCCTGACCCAAACAAAGTCTTCTCTAAATCTGACACCAAGGCAGCCTTCAAGATGCCAACAACAACAACCCCCACGAAGGAAGGAATGAAGACAGATGCTGTAAAAAATCTGACCCCCCCCCCCCCCCCCCCCATTCAGATTGTGGACTTCTGCCTAGTGAGGTCATCAACCTGCAGGGTCAATGTGCTCTGTGTGCCTCCCAAAATCTCCCTCCCACCTGTGGTCTACAGTGGTTGAGCGCCGTACATGGCTGCTCTCGCTGGGGGAAACAGGATCCCAGCCCCCCCTGCCTTCCTTTTGTGATGTTGTGTTGTGTTATCTGTTGCTTATCTGTTGAGGTTTTTTTTTCGCAGAGCAAAGCTGCCCTCCTGGGGGGAGAGTAGCTGTGAAGTGCCTTTTTTTTCCCTCCTCCCGAATCCATTCCTCATGTTATCCTTTTCTCTCTATTAAGGTAGCGCGACTCGGTTGCGAATGACCAGTCACCAATTCTTGTCATGTGTCTTGCCCATGTATGTCTGATCTCTGCATTGTGTGTACTGAAACTCTAGTTTACCTTCCCTGGGACAAATAAAGCTTTTCATTTCATGAAGAACAGGACAGTGATTGGAGGAGGTTTTTTTATGATGGCATATTTCAGAAGTGATTAACTTATTTCTTCGTTTAACAAAACATAATTTATTGGTTGCTATCAGTATGGTGAGAGTAATATAGAAAAGATGCTCCAGAAACATGTCATACATCCCACCTTTAAGGTTTCTTTTAATTTTACCCTTTTCATCCTTATGTAGTTTATCCCTTCTGCTGCTGCAACACTGATTTCCTATCTGAGAGACAAAGAAGATAATTCTCTGTTCCTCCTACATTTTCCTCATATGACGCTTCGGTGTTACTTCTATTTGAGGGCCTGTTCCACAGCTCTGCTATAAAAAGTAAAAATGTATTTAATGGAATTTAAAGCTGTACCTCCAGTGCCGTTTTTGACAAAACCATCAAGTTTCTGCCAGAAATGTTTTTCAGCAGGTTGGTGCTTCATTGCATAATCCATGTGTTCTGTTGTGTTTGTTCTAAGCCATATGGTAAATGATCTGAACTTACTTAAGCTCAGACATCCACACACACACTAGTCTGCACAACACAAGCAGGTTTCGTCATTTATCTTACACAGTGACACAAGTGGATAGCAAAAACGAGCAGAAACACCTGTCAGTAAATACAATTTGAACAGTGTGGCAATTAGAAACAAACATAAACAGGACTTTGCTTGTGGGTCTTTACCTGCCATCTGTTGCGGAAATAAAAAACATCCATGTAGGTCTTTTTGATGTCCCACTGTAAATTCTCTGGGCTGTCCTTTTCTTCCAAGTGCACAGTGAAGACCAGCTCCTCATCCACCCAGTCGGCCTAAAAACATACTCAGGTTCAAGAATGCAGCTCACACATGAACTAACAGGCAAGAGTGCAGTTAAAACGACCTCAGCTGAACAATACGGAGTTTAGAGGACCCTCCTCCACTCACATGGGGGATGCTGATGGTCCAGTTTCCAACGCGCCACATCTCATACGACAGCTTAAATTCTATCAGCTCCTCCTGGACACTTGCCAGATAATCCTCCAGATCACTGTCGTCCTAGAAGCATTTGGTAAAAAGGGTCATAGAAACGTAATCTTTACTTTTATGCAGAGTCATCTAAGCAGCTTCACCCTCTCAGATTCATCCTGGTCAAGAAGTGATCCCTCTCTGCTGCCAACATCTTTCTTCTTGTCCCCCTGGGTCATCCTCACAAGCAGCTCATGCTCCTTCGTTTTCATCTTCTTCTTCTTGGCTTTCTTGGACTTCACCTTGTCCATGAATTTGAACCATCCTTCCTTCAACCTACTGCCTTTCATTTTTTAACACATAGAAAACATCAGTATTCAGGTTTTTTGTTACAATAGTTTTCTTCCCTTTCAGGTGTACTGGGCAGTCTGACAAGATATTGTTTTTGAAAATGTATCCTTTTGGATGAAAACTTGCAGATTTTTGAAGCATCTGGGGGGGGGAGCTATTTGCAAAGTATAAAAGCCAAATCAGCAGTGAATGCATGATTAGTTGCGGGTCCGAAACTGTGGAACGCACTGCCCCTAACTATTAGGGACTCTCCATCAGTAGCAGTTTTTAAAATGAGGCTGAAAACCTACTTTTATGATCTGTCTTTTAATTCTGTGGGTTAGCAATTGTTAATGTTTTATATTTTGTAATTCTCATTTGTGGTTTTAATTATGTCCGTAGCGTTGTATATTTTATTGTTTTACTCTTTTGTCGTACAGCACCTTGGTGGCATGCTCATGCCTGTAAGGTGCTTTATAAATAAAGGCTGAGTTGAGTTGAATTAGCATTCAGATCCACACTGCCATCTGCATAAAAGCAGAATATTTTGTATTATTAAGACAAACTATCATGTTTATTGTGATCTATTATATTGCATGGCTTATCATCATCCTGACATAATCTAGTCTTACTCAGACATCATTTGTGTTGGACTCTTTTCAATTAAGAATGACAACACATGAGTTATTTGCAATTGAGCTTGCCAGATTAGTAATTAGCTGTCTGAAGGACCAAACAAAAAGAAACAAGCGACTAATTGTGTACTGAAAAGCAGGCGAGCAAATGTCACAGCTGACAAATTATTTATCAGATTAACTGTTGCACAGGACAGTGTGAAGGGACGATCATCTATTATCTAAAATGTTTTAAAAACTTTTATTCAGAAGTACTGAGCCTTGAAATAAACATTTGTTCAGTTGCAACATCCACATCAATCCCCATACCTTTCCTTTTGCTCCCGATATCAGCATCGGGTGAAATCTCTGGCACGCTCCTAGAATTGTTTAAACGGATTGAAAAACAAATAAAAAGCACAAATTAACAACTAGTTCAAGTCAAATCCCATTATTAGACTCACAGAGGCTGTTACGGTTGTCACTTTGAGCCTAACAAACACTCGGTCAAGTCAGCAGGGTGCAAAGATGACAGCTACTCACACTTCACTGCCTTCCCTGTCGCCGCCGTCACCCCCTCGTGAATCAAGAGAGGTCTGATTTGGGTCAGATACAGGCGGCTCCTCTGCAGAACTCTCCAAGGTGACGCCGTCGAGCTGGTTCACCACCAGCTGGTTCAGATTGTCTGGGTCAGAGAGCCACCTCACCACCAGCTTCAACCCTGAGAAGACAGCCACCCCAATGAACATGTAAACTTTGTATTAAATACATCAAATGTTGAGTGTGTTTTAAATGGTCCTACCGATTCTTAAAATGGTAAATGGCCTGTATTTGTATGGTGCCTTCTTAAGCCTGGTTTATGCTTCTCCGTCAGCTCCGCAAGGGACAGACACGCACAGATTGACGGAAGCGTTTTGCTCTTTTACTTCTCCGTCTCCTGGAGAGTGTTGCAAAGCAATTCCCAGGCAGGACCACAGAGGGCGTAGCGCTGTTCTGTGGTATCCTGTCATGTATCGGTCCAAGATCGTGTGTTTATATTGTGTTTTTTGTGTATATAAGAGACTTTTAACACGGACATATTTGTCTCTCATTCTCCCACCTCTTCATGCGCTCCCCACCTCTAAACCCACGTTTCCTGTCATTTCCGTCCACAAATAAAACGCTTGCTGCGCATCTTTTCACTCCTCCAGCCACGGGAGGATGAAACGCTCATATTTTTAGAGTTTTTTCACGAGGTATTCTTCAAGCTTCTCCGTGTCTGCCGCTAGTGTCTAGTGTCTACCGCTCACTGCTAGTGAGGCTAGCACCAACAGCTAGCATTTTTAAATCACGCCTGAAAACTCACTACTTCAACCTGGCTTATACCACATAATTATGAACCTCACTGACATCTGCACTGTTTATAAATGGACTCCACAATTATCGACTTCCGTATTATTGAGGTTCTTTGTAAAATGTTTTTCCCTATTTTTATTTCACCCTGTGTCTTATTGATTTTTAGCTGTTATTTTTGGGAATTTTGTTGTATTTCATTTTTATCTTTTATCTGTGTTCGACATGTTTATATAACGCCTGTTTAATTAACCAACATTTTTAGTGTACAGCGCCTTGTTTGGTTGTAATGCCTTGTGAATGCGCTTTATAAATAAAATTGGATTGGATTGGATAGTTATCCTTGGCTCTCTTTGCAATGGCGGCGCTGTAAACAACAGCGGCGTCCTGACCAATCACAAGCTTGCGTAATCTGTCTCGTTCGACGGATGTTTAAAAAAGTGGGCTCGACTCCGTACGTACTTGCCTGCCCTACGCAAGGACGGATAATGGCGTTGCGTGTCTCCGCACTGACGCAGACGGAGAAGCATAAATCAGGCGTTACGGTTCTACAACCCCCCCCAAGGTGCTTCACAACATAATCAGTCATTCACCCATTTACACACTGGTGGGGATGAGCTGTGATGTAGCTACAGCTGCCCTGGGGCGCACTGGCAGAGGCGAGGCTGCCGAGCATTGGTGCCACCGGTCCCTCTGACCACCACCAGCAGGCAAGGCAGGTTAAGTGTCTTGCCCAAGGACACAACAGCAGAATTCTCTGGTTGGAACCGGGATAGAACCTGCAACCTTCTGATTACTGGACAACCCGCTCCATCTCCTGAGCTACTGCTGTCCCACCAAACAAGAGATACATGAGTGAGATCAATAACTGCAGCTAAAAGTGTTTTATAGCTAGTTTTTTTCTGCTCACTATATGAAAATTTAGAGTCATTGGCTAGTTTGTTTGTTTTTTTGTTTTTGGTGAGCACAAAAATGACAAGAATATCAAGAAATCACATTGATCAGGATTAGATTTGCAACGTTGTACGGTAGTAAAAATACATTTCATGTGTAAAGCTTCAAAATGTTAGTTGTAGCTAAAAGAAAGCGCGTGTGGCTGTAATTTGCATATTTATTAGTTCAGCATACCTCATGACATGGACTTTATGAAACATGAAAAAAATCGCAGAAATCAGACTTTAAACTACATGTAATATTTCTAAGCAGAGGACAGTCAGTGAGCATTGGTGTTAGATTGAGCTTCTATTATGTCTTGCTGTGGAAGGTTAACTTGCAAACAATAATGTTTTTGCCTGTGTTTGTCAGCAAAATACCTCATGAACCACTAGAAGGATGTTAAAGTAAGTAAGTAGTTCCAAGTAAGCTAAAGTAAGTAGTAAATCATTTCTGAAGTAACTTTAAAAAATCCATAAATTTGATTATCTGACCTTTGTTCTATGATGTAAAGTATGTCATCTCTCATAACTAAGTCCCTCCCCTTGCCTCTGCAACTAAATAAATCATTTACACGAGCTTAGAACGTTCGAAACGTGTAACCACGAGGGAGCTGTCAATCAACAAGAATGTGCCCCATTCCCCGTTATGCACTATGGGGTAAGGCACAATTATCTTAGCATGCCAACCTAGCTTGAATGCTAACTCAACCAGCATTGAATAATTGTCAACTTCTAGCCAACTGTGGAAGAGGAGGGAGGGGAATGGAAAGGGATTTGTTTGTTGCATATTGGAGCCAAGTGATTATCATAGCATTCAACCTTACACTACACCAGACTATTGTTTAGCCTATTGTAGCGTTAGCAACAATCATGAATACTAGTTTCCTGACACTTTGACATCCTTCTGCTTGAATGCTGCAGATTTGATAAAAACGAGTGATTAGCAGCTCCTGCAGAACCTGATGAAGGGTGAGGAGATAATCCAGCTGTTAGAATCAGGTGTATCTGAGCAGGAGCATTACTAAAACATCAATTTGCCCATTAGTGCTACAACGCTTTATGTGTGGTGAATGAAGAGAGGCTTTCAGCTCCTTCCAATAGAGGAGCAGGAGCGAGAGCTATGGTGTTCAGATTTCTGAATCTCTTCCTCCTCTCCTTGATGACGCCATGCTGAGGAACACAGCTTTAATGAAACTAATGACTAATGAAAGACAGCTAATGAAACTAAACTAATGAAACACTTCTAACCTTAGAGGAGACACACATGGCACTAACTGAATAAGTTTTACAGATAATGAAATAGAATCTGCGGTGTTAGTAACTGTTAATTATCCCAAGCACAAACCCCGAGAGCTACACGCTGTACACGATCTTTACCAGTTTGGGTGAATAGTTCCTTGGCTGGGTGGCGTTCGCTGTTATTGCTCTTGTTCTGCATCCGATGGTGTAAATGCCCTCTAGTACAGAGGCGTCATTTCAGACGTTCTCATGCTACACCGTCATGTATGTTCAACATACAATAACCTTAGTTTAAAACCAACATGAAAGGCAGCGATGCAAGGTCTTTAATCTATATTTTGTCATACAGTTGTGATTGGTTACTTCTCATTCATAAAGCAGCATTTCTACGTGAATACATCCAAGATCAAAACCCAAATGTCATCTGCGTTTAAACGCTCACTAACTGCTTCTTGATGTCGAGTGCCATGTTATTATGCAACTTTAAATATTCATAATTTAGATCTGGTAGACATCTTCCTATTCCTGTCATTCCAACTCTTTTTAGTTTTATCTCCAACAGAAATTTCCTTTGAAAGGTAAGGATCTCTAGTCTGGTCTTAATATTAAACTATTTTTGTGTCAACTCAAAAGAATCACACACTCCTCTGATGCTTGCAGCTCACAGCATGAAAGAAAATTCTGGCATGAAAGCAGCATGAGTCAGTGCTACGCTCTTGAGGGCTTAATTGCTCTTATGAAATGTAGCTTCCAGCATGAACTTCTCAGTCTAGAATACCGTCATATTTACTTGTCAGGTGAGAAGCTGTGGAGCCACTTCAAACTTTAGGAGCCAGAATATTTAAATGATAAATGACCCGCACTTGTATAGCGCCTCTCAGAGTAAGGACTCCAAAGCGCTTTACACTACAGTGCATCATTCATCCATTCACACACACATTCACACACTGATGGTGATGAGCTACGATGTAGCCACAGCTACCCTGGGGCTCACTGACAGAGTGTAAATGTGCCGCTTTGCTAATAAATAAATAATCAATCTAAAAAATTCTTCATTTTAAATTAAGGAGAGCAGGTTTTAGCTGCAGCTCAAACATTTTAAAGTTTTCACTCTAGTAACGGAAAAAACACCATTTGCTGCGTCTGATTGTTGCAGCTAAAACCACAGAGAGCAAGTCTGTAACGTGCCGTTTATTTAATAAAACAATTCGATTAAAATCGAACTAACTCACTCGTTTTGAGTGACTTCTCAACGCGAACGCAGCGGCTCCTGCTCGTTGCATTTTCCCTGGTGCGTCCTACTTAAGAGTGCCATCGTGCACGTCGCCGAGACGTTCAGCTGCCTTAATGGAATTCTTTACATGTTTGAAGAGCTTTTATAGGAACTAAGGCGCTTATATAAAAGTGCCAAACCCCTACAGAAAGACTTGTAAGATGAAACATTGTGTCTGCAGCTAAAAAAAGTAAAAGCCCTGACGGGAATTGAAGGATCACAGGAGGACGTCTATTCTTTCGTACAACCTAAAATGCCTAAGCTCTACAATGCCGCTGACAATAAGGGATTAGAATTCACACTCCTAAAAGAAGCAGAGGCTTAGGCCTTATATAGCAACGTGTTACTGCAGAAAGATGATTTAGTGCTTTCTTACCCTTTAAGGCAAGGATCTCTTTTAAGGCACAATGGCTGATTTCTTGCCCCCAGAAAGATGGGGGGAAAAGGTTGCGTACCAGTGCATCAGAGAGCTCTCTGAGGACTGTCATTTCCACGGCCGGGGTGCTGAGCAACAACTCTCTGAAACAGAAGACAAAAAAACAAAAAAAAAAACAAAAACAAATGGAAGAATGATCTGAACTGAATTAGTGTCAGCTCTTAATCTAGATGTGATGCAGTTCTAGTGAAGAACCCCATGGTTAATTTGTAGCTGATACACGTAACTTTATGGAGCGCAGATGTTTTACAGAGTGCAAAGAGTGAACTTCAGCTGTAGTCTAAATTCTGACTCACAAAGAGAACGTCCTACCTGTCAGGCTGCCTTGCATTATGCAAGTGTTGGGTCAGAATCCTAATGGAGCCCACCACGGCCCGACAGACATCAAAGTCCCTGGACCTGTTAATGATGCGGTCGATCACCAAGTCAAACTCCCTGCTGAGCACCCCGTGCAGAGGCTGGTGCTCCAAGGGCTCGGGGACGCCGAGCCAAGGCAGGACCAGCTGAGCGTAGGCACACTCAAACACTGAGGGGAACCGTCAGAAAAACACAATAGAAGAAAAGAAAAAAAATCAAACAACACTCACACAAAGCTCCAAAAACATCAAATACCGCAGCCCAGAGAGTTAGAAATTCAAGCTCTTCTCCTCACCTTCTGGAAAAGACTTTTGAAAAAATTCAGGGAAAGAAAATCATTTGAAAACGAAGCTCATAAATTACTGACAGGAGTCTCCTCTAACACGGTGAAGACGAGCTACATCACAGACTGTGTCTCACTTGCATGTTTATTAGGCCAACACTGATGTTTCCACTCAATGTAGAGCTCATTACATTTTAAATCCAGACAAATATATTTAAAACCATCATTTCCCTTAAACATTTAAAGGAAAACACATAAATCAACCTAAACATTAAAACCACCTGCAGGCAGGGCTTAATTTGAGCCGGATCTTCAATCAATCAATCAATCAATCAATCAAAGCTTTATTTATAAAGCGCCTTCCGCAACCCTGTCAGGAAGCCCAAAGCGCTGAACACGGTACAGTTGTAAGTAAATATATTGAATGAATCAACAATAAAAGAAATTCAAATTACAAAATACAAAATGGAATTTACAAGATAGATGAAACAGTCCGGTAAAGGACAAATGTGTGAAACACATTTGGATTGAGTGTACCAATGAAAACTGTGGAATGGATTCAACATAAAAGAGGGCCAAAATCAAACATGTTCCCGGAACAAGATCCGGGAACTGTCTTATTTTGAAAGGACCGTTCCGGCAACTGTCTGCTAGGATCCGGCAACTCACGTTACAAACTTGTGCTACACGCAGGATTCGAATCACAGGTGAACTAGGGAGCTCCTGGAAGCCCTCAACACACCCAGAGGGAGCCCGGAAACGATCCTGGTTCTACTTATATTACATTGTCTATGTGGACTCTCCGGGGATTATTTTTGAGCTGAGAGGCGCAGAGCTCTGATCGTTGATGCGCTCCAGACAGATGCGTCCTGAGCACGGCCACAGTAACATTCTCAAAGTGTCGCCACCTCAAAAACAAAGTTAACACGCAATCGTTTATGTCTGCTCATATCCTTTCATGCTTTATGTCTTTTGTTTGTGCCTGATGCGTTTTACTGCTGCGGAACGGAGCGCATCACCCGTTTCGTCCTCCAGTGAATTCACCTCACCGGTGCAGTCGGCGAGCACTCCACTATTTTTGCGGTCGGTAGATCTTTTTGAACTGCAGTTCAAAGGTAACCGATAAGGTGAAAAAATATGAAGGCAGGTAGCAATTTTTCTTTAGGATTGAGAGGAGATGCAGGAAGGTAACAGACAGGACAGAAAAATACTCACATAAAAAACAAGCTCCTTTTTGTACCTGGTGGTTGCAACAAACAGACACCATTGAAGGTAATCAGAAGTGAGGAACAGAAAATGAAATAATTATTTCAATGTTTAGATCAGCAGCAGCCGAATGTTTATGACCACAAAATTTCAAGTGAAGCACACTCCTTTTATGTCATGCGTTTGCTCACGATCCATATTTCTGTTTAGAAACCGTTTCTCCTCCATGGATGTGCCTGCCTGTCAGAGCGTTTAATCACTGGTTGGTCAGCTGAAGCTGCTGTCAGTCATTGTGGGAATGTGTACGGTGTGGGGAAACAGTTTTACTTTCTCTCCTCTGCCTGAGCTGATGGTGATGCGCGGCACGTCTTGCTGCAGCGATGCGCCTTTTGCGCAAAATGCAGCCCTTCATGGAGCTCGTGCCAGACTGTGTATGACTGACATTAGAGGACACACATATCTTTTCAAAAATCTGAGATTTCGACTAATAGAGCTCCGGACCCCATGTGACTCTCAGTTAGTAGACGCCATATTGGCAGGTAAAAGAAGCTAAACAAACACGGATCTTAACCGTGAACGGGATCGGCTTGGATTTTACTTCGTCGGAGTTTACTTCACACTTTAAAACCGAAGAAATCGTTTTATATAGTCAGAAATTAAATAGACTAAACATCTCCGACCCTTACCGTGCCCCTGGGATACTTTTTAAAAACGCCAGAAGCTGTCGGAGCGGACTTCTTACCGGACCTGGCCGGGGAACCCCTTGGGATTTCCCTGGAGGAGCTGGCTCTGGCGGCTGGGGAGAGGGAAGTCAGGGCCTCTCGACGCTACTGCCCCCGCAACCCGACTCCGGATACGCGGATGAAAATGGATGGATGGATGGATGGACAAATAACATATTTACACGTAAGTAGTTTAAATAGAGTGCTGTGCTGTTTGAATGTATAAACTGAACACCAAGAGAAATCACTAGTCTGATTGTTATCCGTGAATAAAATAAATGTCAGGCAGGAACGTCTCAGGATCTGTCTGAGATCTGTCTCGGTGAGACAGATAATAGCAATCCAAAGTGCTTTTTATGTGTGATCTGACAATTGATCAACCATTGCTTAAAAATTAAATACAGCTTAGCCGGTTAATTGCTGTGATCATAAGACATGTAAACGGCAGCACGCAGAAATCACGAGGCAACGTTTTACATGATGTTTACTTGTTGCTATGAGTAATAAGACAGAAAAAGCCACGCCAAAATAAGTTTAGGAAGCCCACTAAGAATCATAATAAAAGCATTTAAAATAAATACCATACACAGTTGAGGAAACGTTGGTTTAAGTACCTGATATGAAGTGGTCGCTGCATAAGCGAAAACCTTTACTCTCGGGATCCCACAGTTTCATTTTAGCCCGGTCACTAGCGCGTTTTATTACAATGATCCAACGTTTGCGGCGTTCCGGATCTTGGGGAATCCTGTAGAAGGCTCATTCCTTATGTCGTCCGTGTCTGTTCTGCATCCTGGGGCACAACAGGAATCTACCATATTTCCTGGCTGATTGAGTTTTCTGACAATAACAAATAGTCCAGCTGCCAGCTTCTACCTGCCAATATGGCGCAGTTTCGATTTGAAATGTTACATGCCGGGAGAAGTGACGTCAACTCCCAGAGCTCTATACCTGGAAATTTGACCGGTTTGCACTGTACCCTAGAAAAAGTACTGACATGCTGAAAGGTTATATTTAGAAGTGGCTGTGGTGCTGGTACCAGTCCAATGCACTGCTCTCTCTCCCTAAAGGATGAGTCTGATGATCTGATCAGAACCTGATCAACATGATCCGTTCCTGACAGCCGCTGTTTCTCCCTCCCCAACCCACCCCACGTGCCCGGAATTGCGCACTGCGCGATAATTAAACTGGCCCAAAAACCACCTTAAACTGGTTCTCCCAACATGACCACATGCAGGCCAGCCTGGACACGCATCTGTGGCCAGAGCTTTCTTCTTTTTCAATCTCTCCTTTTCTGCTCCACCTTTCCTGGTCCATCTAGATCCATTTTGCCTCTGGGGCCAAAGGTGCGGTGGTGCTGTAGACGCTCTGGGGTGGTGGGTGTCTGCAACGCTTTGCCAGATTCCGACAAAGTGAGAGGAGGGGCTGTCTTTGTGCCCAATTTGCTCAGTTTCTGCAAGCATCAGGACAGCAGATGCCCTGATGAGCTGCATGACGGATTGCTCATGTAGATATTACGCACGTCATGACTGGCAATCACTGAGCAGGCCAGTTTAACGGCCAGGCCACCGGGAAATCTCCCGTGTCTCCCGATTACCCGTCCGCCACTGAAGAGATATTTGTTAATTTAGAGAATGTGGGCGCAATTTTAATTACGTGTCAACCCCCCACCCCCACCCACACACACACACACACACACACACGATTCTGCTGCATAAATCCTCCAGCTGTGTGAGGCATCACAGCAGTTCATAGACTCACTGAAGGAGTGCTTCATGTTCTGCTTCCTCAAAGTCCCTCCTTTTTGCATGTAACATGAGTTGGAACTGCAGCCATGTTCTTTTTTTTTATGTTAGGTTGAAACACAGCTGATGACAAAACACATGCAAATGAGGAGCAGAACAAGGACAGGCAACATCTCCAGGAATCAAGCAGCAATTACAGCCTTGTGCAAACAGCCCCACTCCCACAGATTTCTCCTATTTTGTCTATAATATTTCATTTTAGTAAACTTAAGTCAATAAGAAAGACAGCTCCAGGGTGAACAAAATGATGTTACTTTGATAAAGTGGAAAAGCTATCAAACCAGTCTAAACTTGTGAGTAACCTCTAAACCAGGGGTGCCTAATCCTGGTTCTGGAGGGCCGGTATCCTGCATGTTTTAGTTTGAACTCTGTTACAACACACCTGCTTTCAATCAGCAGCTAATTAACAGTCTGTTGGAGCAGAAAAACCACAAAACCTGCTGGATACCGGCCCTCCAGGACCAGGATTGGGCACCCCTGCTCTAAACCTAGCAACTGGTTGTAACTGCCTTGTTGTTAGAAGTTGTAATCAAGCACATGTGACCATAGACACAAATATGTAGATGCCCCATTGGGCGCTGTAGAGTGTAACAGCATCACTGCCACATTGGATGGGTTCCTCACTTGCCAAACCCAACTGGAGTCAACAAAGAGTGAGGAACAACTGACCTACTAGTGAAAACCGATCACGTGGGATTACTACAGACTTTTCTAGCCTACCTGTTGGGATTTGATTTTGATTTTTTTTAATGTATTTTATTGCATCTAAGTTTTAACTATCATGCCATTTCACATATCAGTTGAAAGAAATGCACTAGGTGCAAATGGGGACCCATCCAAGATGGCGGCCAGCTAGTAGGCAGCGCCAGTCCATGGGGCATCTATGTATATGATGTCTGCGTTTGATAACTGGTCTCTCACATCATGGTGGAGGAATGTTGGCCCACTCTACTTTAAAGAATTGCTTACATTCAGCCACAACAGGGCTTTCCTGCATGAACAGGCAGTTCAAAGGTCACATTCTCCTCCTGCAAGTTTTGGTTCCATCAATCACAGCAACTGGTCCTGGTAGACAAAGCACCCTCAGACCCGTTACACTGTTGCAGCCATGTTCTTTTCCTGAATAACGGAGTTTGTTTTACTCCAGGTGGAACAGGACCACCTTCCAGAAGTTAGTTTTGTCTAGTCAGTCTAGATTATTTTCCCACAGATTCTTAAGAATAAACCAGATGTTTTCCTAAACACAAGTGATGCAATATTTTGTCTTCTTTTTGCACAGTAGAGGTGTTTTCCTGGAATTCTCCAATTGGTTTTTCTTTTTTAAAGGGTTAGGGTTGGATGGTAAACAGTAAATGACCTGTATTTGTATAGCACCTTCTTTAAGTTCCACAACCCCCCAAGGTGCTTTACAACACATACACACATTCACACGCTGGTGGAGATGAGCTACGATGTAGCCACAGCTGCCCAGGGGCACACCGACAGAGGCGAGGCCTGCCAAACACTGGTGCCACCGGACCCTCTGACCACCACCAGCAGGCAAGGTGGGTTAAATGTCTTGCCCAAGGACACAACAGCAGCATTCTCTGGTTGGAGCCGGGATCGAACCTGCAACCTACTGATTGCTGGAAGACCTGCTCTACCTCCTGAGTTACTGCTACATGGATCATGAACTCTGACCTCAATCTTAACCACCTGAGGTCTGCAGTTGTGTATATGCTTATGGTTTTTCCTGTTCTTGAATTTAAAAATTGCATTTCAAGATGTTTTAGTCAACTTCCTGTTGTCAGTTAAGTCTGACAGGAATCAGGCCTGGCTGGTGGAAATGAACTCAGCTTCCTATGCGCTGCTTAATCAGTTCATTCAAGCACAATTCGTTATATTTTAAGTTTGGACCAGGTTGATTCTGAAAGCTTTTTCTCCTTAATTAATGAAAATGTACTTTGAAAACTGCATTTTGTATTAACTCGGGTTATCCTTTATCCGATAATTAAAGTTGTTTATTGATCTGAAACATTGAAGCAACACAAAACAGCTAAAACAGCATAAATCCTCAAACACATTTTTCGCATCGCACCTTGCTGCAGAGACTTCCTCGCATGTGAATACTTGGAAATCGGAGGTGTATTCTTCTCAAGGGATCCTTCATCAGGTCCGTCAAACACGTCTTCCTTAGAAGTTTCCTAGAAAACAAAATAAAACAGATTAATCTCATTGTTAAAGACAACCTGTTGATCAAGCCTTCGCAGAAAAACACACCCACACAACAGGTCCGACATCTCACGTCCTCAACCTTTACCGTCACACCTTAAATAGCTGTTTAATTTGATTCAAAGACTTTACCAGACTCCTGAGGTGGTACCTGTTTAAATGTGGTCACGTGCTCCACCAACGCAGCTCACGCGCCCACCAATTAGTACAATACGGAGCTAAGAACCCTTACCTGCCGTTAAATCAACTTTTTAATGACATTAAAAGGATGAAAGCCAAACGTGGACACCTGGAGCGGATGTTCCTTCGGCTCTTCTTCAGTCTGAGTGCTGCTCTCGCGCCCGTTTTTACCAAACAGCGGTGTTATGAGACAACAAAGCACGCATATTAGATACTGAACCGCTGTTTGTCCACTGTCTGAGAAATACCAAACCAAACAGAAAGTCACCGCGACGGACAGGCGACACGGGGACATTATTCCTCCTCTCCTCTCCTCCTCCCTCTGACTGAGGGCCAAAGTGTGTCTGATAAAGTTAAAGCCGGCCTGCTCGGCCGCATTTCTACAGCCGACAAGATGTAGAAGATGAGCGTTTGTTTTCCTCCAACGAAGTGCAAGAGCGGAAAAGGAGAAGTTTATCAAAGCTGGTCAAAGCTGTGCTGTGATTGGCTGATGGGAGTCGCCCAGCGATGACTGTGAAAGTGCGCCCTCTACAGGTCACACTTGCACCTGAGGAGCACGCGTTTAATTAATGCACGTGATGTACGTACGCCCTAAACTAAAAACAGTAAACATAAATAATGTATCGTTTTTTATTTTAATCAAAATAACATGAACTGCGCAGCAAATGTCAGAAATTAGACAAAAAAGAAACAAACCCAAACAAAAATGTTAACAGCAACATTTAAAAAAGGCAAGAATAAAATAGCACAAGGGCTGCTGTTGAATGGCAGGGTACAGAAGAATAACAAAAATGTACTTTCTATGTCAGTAGAACCATTTATTTTGTGCTGTAGGTCTATGTCTGGTTAACTGTATCGCTTGTCATATTTGTTTATTTATATATGTACCTTTTTAATCCTTTTACTTAATTTTATTATTTTATTTACCTCTTAGTGTTTTTATATGATTATGTTTTCTTTTACTATCTGTATAATCACTTTTTATCAGTTATTTTCTATCCATATTAGCTTTTGTTATTTTACATGTTATATATTTTAATCCTCCAGTGTTTCCTCTGCAGAGCCCTCTGCCTTGGGGCCGGTGGTCGGCGGCGGCGGCCGGGGCACTCCTCGGGTAGTGCCCGGGCAGTGGTGGTGGTCTCCGCCCTCCCTCCCTGGGCATCATGGGCCAGTGTCTTGGCTGCTGCCGTGGATCTGTTGCTGTCGAGGCAGATGGCTCCGCTGATGATGTGTCGTCCATTATCTGACCCATCTGAACTCAGCCTATTGTTTACTCTGTTGATCGTGTGTGTGTGTGTGTGTGCGTGCGTGCGTGTGCGTGTGCGTGTGTGCGTGTGCGTGCGTGTGTGTGTGTGTGTGTGTGTGTGCGCGCGCGCGCGTGTGTGGGTGAGTGTATGTTCACCTTGGAAATTGGTTGCGGGAGTGGAAGTGTAATTGTCAGTTGTTTTATACTTGGGGAGGGGGGGGGGGGAATATGGGATCTATGGGGCCATTTTAATCTGTGAAGCACTTTGAGTTGCATTTTTTATGTATGAAAAGTGCTATATAAATAAAGTTGATTTGATTTGATTTGATGTGAAACGAAATGTCGGTATAAATAACAGCAGAGGCCTTAGCAGGGCCTTACATGGACAAACACCATCTTACATTGGTGATCTTCTCAGTCCCTACACCCCAGCAGGTCCCTGAGGTCCAGTGCCAAAAGCCTACTTGCTGTGCAGCACCAGGCTAAAGACCAAAGATGACAGATCATTTGCTGCTGTGGTCCCCAGACTCTGGAACTCTCTCCCCCTGAGCCTGAGATCAGTGGACTCAGTGGTCTCCTTTAAAAAGCAGCTGAAGACTCACTTGTTCAAGCTGGCTTTTGTATGACCTTCTTCACAACTCTCTCTTTATTCTGCTCTCCCCACCTACTCCGCCTTTCCCAGCATCCTCTGATTTCCCTCTTTCCTGTTCTCTCTCTCTCTCTCTCTCTCTCTCTCTCTCTCTCTCTCTCTCTCTCTTTCTTTACATTTTTAATCACAACTGTCTATTTTAGCTCATTTTAAACATATTTTTAATAATTTTCTAAATTATTTTTTATATTTAAATTTTTGATTTTTGTGAAGCGCCTCGTGAGTTTTATCTTGATTTATTGTCTTTCTTTCTTTCTTTCTTTCTTTCTTTCTTTCTTTCTTTCTTTCTTTCCAGAGCTGAAGGAATCTAGAGCTTCTCTGTCTCTGAAGGTCTCTTAGATTGTTAAGTCCACATATTCACTCCCTGCCCTCAGAGGATTATCTGGCATTCACCCCACGTCCTCCACGACATCTCCAGGTTATGTTCAAAGACTTTCCAGCCTGATTTTTGAGGTTTTTTAGGCCTGTTGGCATCTGTGGATCTGATGGTAGTCCCCAGGAAACTACAGCTATTTTATCTGTATTATGTTAAACAGTGTAAACACGCAGTAAATGAGTCTGAAGATGTGGATAAGAAGCTGTTGTTAGTGGAACGTTATGTGAAAATGTTTTATGTTACATCTCAGCGTGTATGTGGATGGGCTGTAATGGACTGCTTTGAGAGGTAAATTGGTTTTCCAAGGAACTACCGAGCCTATTTAACAGTACTGATCGTGCACCATTGATGGTCTCTTCCACACAGACAGTTGTGATGCTGGCCTTTAAGCATTTAGGTTTTCCTCAGACACATGGTATCTTCTCTCCATATTTTTCATCAAGGACATGGAAAGACCAAAGTTTGTTTTCATTAAACAATATTGTTTTGGTGAGCCATCATTCAGCCATGTCTGTAAGATCAAAGCATTTAATGGATGCCCAGCCTCAGGGGTCTGCAATCTGTGGCTCAGGGCTCCTCTGAAACAACCCCTTGTCAACCGAGTCATGTTTGTACCTGAAGTGATGATGTGTGCATGGGATTTCAACTATAGAACGATACTAATAAAGATACTTCCTGCGTTTTCACAGAAATTATAATTAATCCTTAATGCCATTTCCGATGCTTCCCATCATTTCAGAATTAATTGTGAAAGATCAGTTTTACTTTTAAATAAATCTTTGTTTATTTACTCTTTACTTTGTTCATGCAATTTACTGAGTCATTTACCATCAAAAACCATCAGAAAATGTTAATACTGTTTCAACGTAACTTGAAGTAAATTTATGAGTTTTGTCTGTTTGTTGGGCATGATAAAATATTAGGGGCATCAAAACGTAGCTTTGTGGTGACATAAGAGGTGATTTCTAATCAAATCCAACCCAACTTTATTTACAAACCACTTTAAAACAACCAGCATAACTCCAAAGTGCCTTGCAAAAAAATTAAATGACTTAAGATTTCAAATGATAAATAAAACATAATAAATCAAATCATAAATAAGTGAAGCCAAGATGGTGAACACATAAAATATTAAATAAAACCAACCAAAAATCCACAAGGTGTTAAAAGCCAAAGTGAAATATTTTTTAAAGAATTTAAATCAGACAGCATGACACCTGTCGGATGCCCAAAGGTAGATCTTTCTGCGTTTTGTGAGCTGTTGCAGCAAAGGTTCGGTCTCCTCTGAGCTTCTGCTGAGTCCTAGGAACACTCAGGAGTGAGCAGGAAAAGGAGGGCAGGACAAGGCCATCAGGCTTTAAACCCAATAAAAGAACCTTTATATGAATCCACATGCAGCAGTGGAGTGAGGCCAGAACTAGTCCAATGTGGTCATATTTTCAGTTTGCCAGTTAGAAAATGTGTGGCAGTATTTTCATTCTGGAGATGTAAAATAATGTGCATTAATCAGCTGAGTGGTGACAAAAATGTGAATTTTTCTACCAAAATAGCCTTTTTTTTGGCAAACTGCCTCAAATCTGATTTAACAACTACTTTGATTTGACTGTCAAACTAAAGATGAGCGTCCACCTTGACCCCAGGTTTGTGATAATTCTGGGCCGAGGAACTCATTTCCACATTGGGGGCATGGGTGGAGCTGCCAAAACTCATCATTATGAAGAAGAGATAAAAACAGAAAATAAAACCTGCCTAAAAGTCCAGCAAAAAATTATTTAATTGTCTTGAACTTGTTTTACACATTTTTTTGAATATGGGATGAATAGAGATAGATCTGAAGAAAGAAAAAGATATAATTCAGGTGTGGAACTAAACAGTTTATTCTTATTTTGCTTAACACTCACGTGGCCTAGAGCCTTGAGTTCAGGGGGCACAAATATTAATTATGAGAGAGAGAGAGAGAGAGAGAGAGAGAGAGAGAGAGAGAGAGAGAGAGAGAGAGAGAGAGAGAGAGAGAGAGAGAGAGAGAGAGAGAGAGAGAGAGAGAGAGAGAGAGAGAGAGAGATGTATAAGATCAGGTATTTTAATCTTAGTTTTTAGGTTCCTGTAAATTTCTCTGTTCTACATAAAAATATTTATTAGGAAAGAACAACTTTTTCTAATCTTCAAGCACAAACTGACCTCATACTTCATTTACACCTTTTTTCAAACCTCACTTTCATTTCTGTAAAGATGAATTTTAGTTTTGGTGCTGTTTTAAATTTCTTACATTTCTGGAAAACACAAATCAGCTACAAGAACGACTTGAGTCTAGCGTATAACTGATGTCTGCTGTTCTGTGATGCAATTTAAAATCACAACCAGTGACTGTAGAAAAATAACTCACAACATGTGCTGCTGGTTATGTTGTAAAAATGCACCAGATGCACCAATGTCATGTGCTTTCAGTTCAAGGTGTAGTGTTATTTATGACCACCAGATGACACTGTAGGTGCGAGAAAATAATCTCTAGCCCTCCCACTGTCCAAATGGGTGTGACCCCACGAGGAAAGTTGACCATTGAGCAGGATTGATGGTTTATCCATTGAGGTAGTGACAGGAGTGAGGTGGTGCTCACACCTCACTCCTGCCACATGGACCCAAGAGATAAACCATCAACCCTGCTCAATGGTCAACTTTCCTCGTGGGGTCACACCCATTAGGACAGTGGGAGGGATAGATAGATAGATAGATAGATAGATAGATAGATAGATAGATAGATAGATAGATAGATAGATAGATAGATAGATAGATAGATAGATAGATAGATAGATAGATAGATAGATAGATAGACAGACAGACAGACAGACAGACAGACAGACAGATAGATAGATAGATAGATAGATAGATAGATAGATAGATAGATAGATAGATAGATAGATAGATAGATAGATAGATAGATAGATAGATAGATAGACAGACAGACAGACAGACAGACAGACAGATAGAAAGATAGACAGACAGACAGACAGACAGACAGACAGACAGACAGATAGATAGATAGATAGATAGATAGATAGATAGATAGATAGATAGATAGACAGACAGACAGACAGACAGACAGACAGACAGACAGATAGATAGATAGATAGATAGATAGATAGATAGACAGATAGAAATATAGACAGACAGATAGATAGATAGATAGATAGATAGATAGACAGACAGACAGATAGAAATATAGACAGACAGACAGACAGATAGATAGATAGATAGATAGATAGATAGATAGATAGATAGATAGATAGATAGATAGATAGATAGATAGATAGATAGATAGACAGACAGATAGAAATATAGACAGACAGACAGACAGATAGATAGATAGATAGATAGATAGATAGATAGATAGATAGATAGATAGATAGATAGATAGATAGATAGATAGATAGATAGATAGATAGATAGATAGATAGATAGATAGATAGATAGATAGACAGACAGACAGACAGATAGATAGATAGATAGATAGATAGATAGATAGATAGATAGATAGATAGATAGATAGATAGATAGACAGACAGATAGAAATATAGACAGACAGACAGACAGATAGATAGATAGATAGATAGACAGACAGATAGAAATATAGACAGACAGACAGACAGATAGATAGATAGATAGATAGATAGACAGACAGACAGACAGACAGACAGACAGACAGACAGACAGACAGACAGATAGATAGATAGATGATAGATAGATAGATAGATAGATAGATAGATAGATAGATAGATAGATAGATAGATAGATAGATAGATAGATAGATAGATAGATAGACAGACAGATAGAAATATAGACAGACAGATAGATAGATAGATAGATAGATAGATAGATAGATAGACAGACAGATAGAAATATAGACAGACAGACAGACAGATAGATAGATAGACAGACAGATAGAAATATAGACAGACAGACAGACAGATAGATAGATAGATAATCTTGTGAGGTCACAATATTGTGACATAATTCAGTCTAACAGTTGAGATTATGTAACAGCCCAGCTGACAGGGCTCTTGGTGAGTGAAGTCTCACTGATCTGTGGTCCTGAATGTTGATACACATCCTGATTCTGGTGTTGTTTCAAGCATGATTGTGTTTCCAGAATTACCTGACTTTCAGTTAGATATTTACAGTCAACAAACTAAAGCAAATGTAGTATTCTTTCACTAATCCTGTTAGTTGCAGTGTTCCAAACAAAAAGTATTAACACTCAGTGAATAGCTCTTCTAAAAGTAAGAAATTGAATGTTTGCCTTTAAACATGAGCAGTTTTGTTTATTGAGTGCCAACGTTTGAAAGCACACTATTTTGTGCTCAACCATAAAACTGTAAAATATAGAGATAATGGCAAGCCATCCCATTTATGTGAATATAAAAATCATTTTTGCTTTTGTTTGTCTGTCTAGATCTCCATGCTAAACAGATGCCTCTAGTTGTCAAAACCCCAACATTAAACTGTTATCTACTATTTTAGGGGTTGCAGAGGAATGACCACTGGGCATAGCCAAGAGACATTCATGTTAGGATATAGAAAGTTCTCATTTATGCATGAGGGGGATTTTTCTGGGTACTCAAGTTTTACTCCCAGTCCAAAAACAATCATGCTAGATTATTTTAGGATTCTAAATGGTCACCAGGGTAGTGAGTGCATACGAGAATGGTTGTGCATCTCTGAGCTGGTGACCTGTCCAGGGTGTCCCCATGCCTGCTGGAGATTACCCCGCTACTAAGAGGTTGAATGAATGATAAAACATTAATCCCAACAAGCATGCCATTGCAGGTGATGATTGAGAGTGTGGTGATGTGACAGTGTAACCCTTAATGTCAGTGTTTCTGAGCCACTCCAGACAGACATGTGTATAACGGCTCCCCGTTCAAGCTGAGCGAGGGATCAATTAAATCAGATCCCTGCTGAGACTGGCTTTCGGGGATCGATCAGTCTCACTGGGTAAGGGGTCACGTTCAAGACTTTGTGAATTACTGAGAGGATTAGACAGGAATCCAGTTGAGCAAATAGTGTAATCTGAAAGCGTTACTAAAAGGCTTTGATTTCCATTCTGGATCAGGGTTACATGACATTGGGTCTTGTCAATTTCTTCTTTTTTAAATTAACGATTTTGAGACATTTTCAGCAGCAGGACCAAAGTCCTCATTACCAAATAGTTCATTAAGGGTTGAGACAGCTTGAACAGTGGTGTCTGACATTGTTTTCAGTGAAAATTCATCACGGTAATAGTTTAAACCAATTATAAAAAGTTGTGTGGATTTCAGTTTTGTTTCTCCTCACCTGTTGAGGGCTGGTGTTACAACTACCACGTGTTGTACAACTGGCCCATATACGGACAGCAGAGGAGGCAGTCCACACACCGTTTAGGGATCAAGAAGTACATCGTGTCCTGCCCTACAAATGCCACAACCAGCTTACCGCCTCTTGACCCCAGACAAGATCACGTATCAGGAGGAATTCTTGGCATGACTGCAGGATGACACAATCATCTACACATCAGCTACAACAGTCATTAACCGCCTTCTGCTAATTTAACGCTAGTTCCTCCGTGTCCTGAAAGCCATCCGGGCTCTTGGTCGTGACGGTGAGTGTCCTAAAAGGTAAAACAGTTCAAGGACAGAGTCCTCCGTCAGTCAAACAGTTGAGAGTCAGACAAGGCTTGGCAGGAGATCAAAGTATATTTAGAAGGCTGGAATTATCCACCTCACTACAGGTAATCCAAGCTATTCCCCCCGGGAAAAGTCGCCTATTAAAGCATAGAGCAAAAATCATCTAGGTTAACTTTTTGAAAGTGTCTCAGCTGAAATTTTGTCAGCAGATCAGATTTTCTCAGCAGATTTAGGCTCGGCCCCAAAGACAACCTGCAGGTTTAAGTTTCTAGAGGGTGCCAAACAACCGACCGAAGCATCACAACCGACAGCATGCACTTAGTCTGTAATAAAACTCTTCAGGACTGGGTATTACATTTCAAAACCAGGTGAGAGGTTCACTCAGTAGGTTGCCTTTATTTCTCTTATTCTGGCAAAGTTCTTGTGGTTAGGGAATGAGGTTGTTGTGAGAGGCAGAAAGAAGAAAACCATGGGCCAAGAAATTAGTGCATAACATATTTCCCTTGGTACAACTAGTAGAAAGTACTAGTTGGTCCCTATAAACATAACTCTGTATTTAAGTCCATCCAAATGTACAAGATATGTTACAGTTAAACTTCACAACATGAACAGTGAACAGATAATTTAAATGACTTTCTTAAGCTCATCGTACAAGACGAGCACGAAGGCACCGCCCATGCCTCTGAGCACGTTGGACCACGCTCCTTTAAAGAAGGCCTTGCTTCCTTCGTCACGTGCGATCTTCCTCCAGCAGTCGAGGGTGCCAGAGTACATGATGTCAGCTGAGAGGAACAAACGGCACGGTGAAGATCTCAATCCACAAAGACAGAGTTTATGGTGTAAACATGTCGTGCTTATTACCTCCTTTGCGTCCGGACTGCATCATCATACGACGACGGACTGTATCGAAGGGGTAGGAAGTAAGACCGGCGACGGCGGTCACGGTCTGAGCAATCATCCAGCTGACCACAATGTGTGTGTTCTTGGGGTCTGGAAGCATGCCTGTAACAAACACCAATCTAAGGGATTAATCTGCTGTCTCAAAAATGTTCACTGAGGAACGATGGTTTAACAGTGAGAACTCACCCTTTGCTGTGTCGTAGATGCCAAAGTAAGCAGCTCTATAGATGATGATGCCCTGCACTGAAACATTAAAGCCCTGGTACAGACCCCGGAGGCCATCCGACCTGAAGATCTTCACCAAACAATCTCCCAGGCCACTAAACTCTCGTTCTGCTCCAGCTTTGCCCACGTCAGCAGCGAGACGTGTTCTGGCAAAGTCAAGGGGGTAGACGAAGCAGAGCGATGTGGCTCCAGCTGCGCCGCCTGATGCCAAGTTACCTGCAAAGTATCTCCAGAACTGTGTGCGCTTGTCCACACCATCCAGGAAAACCTTCTTGTACTTGTCCTTGAAGGCGAAGTTAAGGGCCTGAGTGGGGAAGTATCTGATAACGTTGGCCAGATTTCCTCTCCAGAAAGAAACGAAGCCCTGCTCTTTTGGGATACGGACGACACAGTCGATGATGCCCTTGTACTGCTTGTCAGCGGTAATCTGCTTGCTGGCATGTTGCACCTGTAAATCAGAACATCGTCTAAATCATTATGTTTTGTCATTTATTTGGGTAATTCAGTGGTTTTCCCAGAACATGTCATGCAGGCACATTTGCATGCACGTGCTGCATGAGACATCAACTCAGGCATTCATTCAAGAATTCACAACCCCTCCTCTTCCTCCTCCTCCTCCTTCTGCTCCTCCTCCTCCTCCAACTCATGCTGCTGCATCCAGGCTTACAGCAGAGCAAACCATGGCGCAACCGTTGCTGTGACCTTGCTTGCTCGTTTCCAACTCTTACTGGTGGTATGTCACACAGGAGCACCTTTAAAACACTAACGATGCTCATGAGGTGGAGGACAGCGTGTTTGCACGATCTGGGAGGGATTGCAGCTTTCAGACTCTTACATAACCGGTCTGCGCTCTCTCCTCATCCGAGTCTGCACCAATCTGACGGAGCCGCTGCGATTTACTATTTATAGCTCAGTTTCTGCTCCTGACAGCGCAGCATCTTCATTATCCACAGAATATTTCATTAAAATCATCTCAAGTCCTCCTCCACACATTAGGAGCTTTGACCTATGTGTGGAAAGGTGCTGCTGCAGCGGTTTTAGCAGTGCCGCATCACTGACATCACAGCTGAGGTGTAACTGAACGTGAGGAAGGTAGAGAACACCCACCTGAAGGAGAAGTTTGACTCTCTCGATGGGGGCTACGGCGGTTTTAGAGATGGCAGCGGCGATGCCGCCAGCCAGGAAGTCCTTGGCGAAGGAGATGGCCTGCTCGCTCATCTTCGGGTGTTATCAGTCGTCTTCCCACGGCTCACTCGGTGGGGTTTGCAGGTGGAGTGGAAATGGCCGAAGCCGAGGGTGAGAGGAAGGGATTTTAAGGAGGCTGAGCGCGAGAAAAAACGCGAACTTGGACTCTCGCTTCTCATTGGCCGGTTGGGGGAGTGATGGGCGGGGCGTGATGACGTCCTCTCAGTCAGATTTGCTGGTTTCTATGGTCACCAATGAAAGAAAAGGACAAACGGAGTTTTTAAGAGGAAGAGTTAATCTGTTACTGGACAAGTTGTGGGCAGTTTTAGGGAGTAAAACATCAGGATTCAGAGGAAGTTGTGTACATTTTTGGTTTAAAGAGTAATAAAGTTCAAGGTCGTGTGCAGAGTGAAACAGCTGAGACCTAAAAGACATGATGGTGGGTAAAGGTCATCCCATCTGTTGACGTCCTTTAGCTGTCACTTTGTTACCCACAATGGGAAGGACAGGATTCAATCAGCTGACCGGTTCCACGAAAAAAAAAAACTCCTCCATATCCTGAAAGCACTTATACAAGGTGGAGTAAAGACTATAGTTACTGGGTTTATCATGGGAGCAAATGGATTAGTTATAAAAATACTCTGTGAAGTCAGTGTTTGTTCAAGCACAAATCTGAAAAGTGTGAACATAATACAGCAAAAAAATGCTTTTTCAAAATAAAAGTACTTTAGGAAATGTTAAATGAAAGACATTAGTAAACATTACTAAGGTTCACTTTAGAAATGAGTGAATGTCTTTTGTTCGGTCTGCTTGAAGGTGGCAATCCCATTATTAATATTCAAAATATAAAGTTAAAAGTGCAATATGTAGGAATTTTACACAAACCAAAATTAATTTTAACAATCACATTTCAAAAATATTTTGTACATTTATTCAGTGTTTTTATTTGTAATCTATTATTCTTTTCTTACACAGTTTAGTAAAAAAAAATAATTTTTTACCTGATGTGTTTCAAATAGTATCTGATGATGGCTAGAGATACTAGCTGAAACATGGCAGGTAAAAATATTATTTACTAAACTGTGTAAGAAAAGAACAACAAATAGATTAGAATTCTAAATTAACCACAAAGCAATTTACTGTCTCAGTCCTGTTGGAAAGAAAGTTACACTGAAACGGATTTATTTCTTAGCTGGGTTGTCAGTTTTTTTCCTGTTTAAAAAGGCCAAGGGGGAACAACATAGTCACTGTTTACATTATGTGAGCCTGCAGGGTTGCCAAGTCTGTACCAGCATTTGTAATTAAACACCAGCTGGCAAAAGCACCAAAGTTGTTTAAGGAACCAAAGCCAGTAACAGGAGCAACGCAGAAGTCATTTTATGTAATCCTAAGAAGCCACGGCATCTTCTAGTTTTACTCACATATTTGATGAAGAAGGCCAGAGGCTAATCGAGCTAACAGTGCTAACGATAAATTGAAAGATATTAAATATTATCGATATTAAAAGTGAAATGAAGTTATCTACTTATCAACTTACTGTGTGAGCATTTGTTGACTGTGTAAGTGTACTAATTGGGTCACAGACAGAAGCCATTTGTTTTGAAACATTATGTTTAAGTTTATGTATTTAGCAGACGCTTTTGTCCAAAGCGACTTACAAGTGATAATCGGCATTTTGCCCTTGAGGCTAACAACAACAGTAACAACAACAACAACAACATTGACATCAGTCATGGAGAGGAGGGAACATGGAGTGGACAGTAGAGAGGGGGACGGGTGCAGGCAAGGTGCTAGTTGTTCCTCTCAGTGTCCCCCTCTGCTGTCTGCCTCACTCACATCTAATTTCTGATCTCTTCCATTTGTGCACATCTCGATGCGGAGGTCTCCACGTGAAGGCGAAAAACGTCTTCCGTTTTTGTCGATGCGTGCCGGCAGAGATCCGCTAACTTTCAGGCTGCCCTCTTGATCCATGATTTTCGACAGATGCAACCACTGTTCCGATGAAATGGAACAAAAGCTCAACACGGACTTAAATCATTAAACATGGACTGCAGTACACAAATTTGACCACATGATGTCATTCTTACTTCGTGCACCTTGAAAATTTGCGAGAAAGACAAAAAACCATCAAAGGAAAAACAATTTAATGCTCTATTACTGCAGCTATAAATCCATGTTGGTAGATTCATATGATTGTCCAATTTTATCTGAAGGATCCAAACATTATAAATATATATTATCAATTCTATAAAGGCATACTTATTAGTTTTGTTCCACAGTGAAACAGCTTTTTCCAACCAACATGTACATAGGCCATGGCACTGTGTGAAATTACAGTAATAACTGCAATAAGCCCCAAATAAATGCATAACACTCAAGGCACATGTTGTACTGCATAAAAATGGTCAAAAGTTTTAAACAGACAGTTCTTAAACAAGTAATACTGTTGGATACAAAATATTCAGTTCTAAAGAACTGGAATGTCCTTGTGTGACATCATTTCTGTCTTTCGCTTGTGCAACACAGTAAAGAGTTTTCTTTTTCTTCAAAAACCAGACATCTTCACGTGAAGCGGTTTCCCAAAGATGACTCTCCTGACCCAAAGTTCCTGTTTCTCAGATAGCGTTGGACCTCCTGCAGCTCATTTGGCCCGAGGCTCTGGTCGACCCCCGGTGTGCGCTTGTAGCTCAGAGGTGAGACGATGTAGCCGTTATGGTAAAGGCAAACCTGCTTACACATCTCACAGCAGGTGAAAAGAAGACCAAAGTAGGGAACAATCTGGAAAAAGATGAAAGAAATCAGGAGAAAGGAGTGCACTTTTAGTCCAACAAGCACTTTATTTACTGGTAAAGTTTAAATTTTGAATTATAACATAAGAAACAATGTTCAGCTCTGGCGACATTAGCAGCTGACATTGGAGAGTGGAGCACAATGTTCCACCTTGCTCATGGTATTCCTGCAGTGCACACACTCAACATGACTTTCCACACCCTGCCCCCATTCCCTCGTCTGCGTAGGTCACAGGTTACAATCCTCACGCTTGCATAAAAGTCACCCGTGTTTGAGGTCATTTCAATTCCCACAGGCTTGCAGGATGATAGCACAGCCATATATGAATTAATCCAACACTGACAATTTTTTGGGATGAGTGAACGCACCTTTATTGTGTTAGCAGTGAGTCCATTCCAGAGTGCCAGGATGCCCTTGGTCTTTACAACTTGCATGAAACAGTCAATCACTCCGGTAAAATGGACGTCAGCTCCACCAAAATGAGGAAGATGGGCACTCTGCGCCTGGGAGGAATATGAAACGAATATAGGTGAATCAGAAAATTATTAACAATGCTTAGCAAAAAAAGCTAAAACTAGGAATATGGATGGGGACTATTAGCTACTTTTAAATAGGATTGTGGAATTTTACAACCATTTTCACTCAAAGAACTCCAAAAACGAAGAAAACAGCTCTAGAAATCGCTTCATTTTGTTCAAAGCACATGAAAAAATGGTCCTAAATGAGTAATGGTCTTTAAAAAGGTTATATTCAGATAAAGATTATATCCATTTGAGTTAGGATTTTTTTTTAATCAGAAAACAGCATACATGTAAGAAAAAATCCAGCTGTAATCAGTTCACAAGTGTCTGTATAATATCTGTAATTAGGGATGGGAAATATATCGATATCAATATCGGTATCGGCCGATGTTAGTCATTTTTTAGCATATCAGTATCGGTCCGATTAAAAAAACGTGGCCGATATTATGAATCAATATTTTTTCCATCTTGTCACCATTTGTTTGCCTGTTTCAGAGGGTGAGGGGGGTGATGTGTATTTGTTTAGTCATGTCACAGTGATTGTAATCATCTCAGAAGAGTAAAAAAGTGTGTTGTGTGTACATAATAACGTAAATTCAGCTTTAATAATTTTTATTCTATGCAAAATCTGCTGATTTTAGAAGCATTAATGTCAGTATATCGGAACTGGCAAATATCGGTTATCGGCCATAACAGTGATCTTAATATCGGAAATCGGTATCGGCCCAAACATTTCACATCAATGCATCACTCTCTGTAATGGTATTTTTTTTATATCTAATACGTTTTTTTTCGACTGGAAATCAGGCTTGAAAATGTGCACAACAATTAAACAACACATTTCCGTTTTCACTTGCAGCGTCACACTTCTGGAAAACATTCGAGGCTTAATTAGATGCGTGAAGAGTGTTTGTTGTGTGTTTGCTTCGAAACAAACCATCTTTAACGTACTGAGACGAGTCACTCTGAAAAAACATTGTGTACCATTAGAGGCCAAGCTAAATAAAATACATGAGTCGTCGTCATCTTCCTCTGCTTATCCGGGTCCGGGTTGCGGGGGCAGCATCCCAACTAGGGAGCTCCAGACTGTCCGCTCCCCGGCCACCTCCACCAGCTCCTCCGGCAGGACCCCAAGGCGTTCCCGGACCAGATTGGAGATGTAACCTCCCCAACGTGTCCTGGGTCGACCCGGGGGCCTCCTGCCGGCAGGACATGCCCGAAACACCTCCCCAGGGAGGCGTCCAGGAGGCCTCCTGACCAGATGCCCAAACCACCTCAACTGACTCCTTTCGATCCGGAAGAGCGGTTCTACTCCGAGTCCCTCCTGAATGTCCGAGCTCCTCACCCTATCTCTAATGGGCTCGACACACGGGAGGCGACAAACGACCGCGATCAGCGAAATTTATCGCTGTCGCTTTTATTACCTGACACACGGGAGGCGATCCGCGGCAGCAGCCAGCGGCAAAGTCATCTACGTGTTCTGTTCCATGGCGAAATCAAAACTTCCATTGTTTTGGTTGGCTGTGTCAGGTTGGAGGGAATTAAGGTTATTGAAGCGGTTCAGAGTTAAAAAAGTGGTAGATAATGTTTCACAAGGTGCTGCTAGAGTTATGTGAAATCTTACTTCTGATTTTACTTTATAAAACACAATAATAATCAACTTCTCCTTCATGTTTGCTCGGAGATGTACGGAGCATCCTGTCCGCTCATTGGTCAGTGAATGAAACCTCCGTTGATTGGTCCTCGTCTGAGCGACAGCGATGAAAAGTTGAAAATGTTTCAACTTTCTGGGATCGCGTCGCTGGGTCGCCTGTGCACGACACGTGCACGAGCGCAAAATTTCACACGCACATTTTTCGCGTATTGCTTGGTAGGAGGGAGACCTGCGATTATCGCTTTGTCGCGCATGTCTCATTGAAAATGAATGGAGGAGAGGCGATGTCGCCTCCCATGTGTTGAGCCCATGAGGCAGAGCCCATCCACCCTACAGAGGAAACTCATTTCGGCCGCTTGTATCCGCAATCTCATTCTTTCGGTCATTACCCAAAGCTCATGACCATAGGTGAGGATTGGGACGTAGATCGACTGGTAAATCGAGAGCCTGGCTTTCTGGCTCAGCTCCCTCTTCACCACGACAGATCGGTTCAGCGTCCGCATCACTGCAGACGCTGAACCAATCTGCCTGTCGATCTCCCGGTCCCTCCTACCCTCACTCGTGAACAAGACCCCGAGATACTTAAACTCTTCCACTTGAGGTAGGACCTCTCTCCCGACGCGGAGCTGGCAAGCCACCCTTTTTCGGTAGAGAACCATTGTCTCAGATTTGGAGGTGCTGATCCTCATCCCAGCCGCTTCACACTCGGCCGCGAACCTACCCAGCAAAAGCTGAAGATCAGCTAGGAGGACCACATCATCCGCAAAAAGCAGAGACGAGATTCTCCTGCCACCAAACTCGACACACTCCACACCACGGCTGCGCCTAGAAATTCTGTCCATAAAGGTAATGAACAGATCCGGTGACAAAGAGCAGCCCTGGCGGAGTCCAACCCTCACCGGGAACAGGTCCAACTTACTTCCGGCTATGCGGACCAAACTCGCGCCCCTCTGGTAAAAAAGACTGAATGGCCCTTAACAGAAAGCCACCCACCCCATACTCCTGGAGTGTCCCCCACAAGGTGCCCCTGGGGACACGGTCATAAGCCTTCTCCAAATCACAAAACACATTTGGATTGGTTGGGCAAACTCCCATGCCCCCTCCATCACCCTTGCAAGGGTATAGAGCTGGTCTACAGTTCCACGGCCAGGACGAAAACCACATTGCTCCTCCTCTATCTGAGATTCAACTATCGATCAGACCCTCCTCTCCAGTACCTTGGAGTAGACCTTTCCAGGGAGGCTGAGGAGTGTGATCCCCCTATAGTTGGAACACACCCTCAGGTCACCCTTCCTAAAGATGTGGACCACCACCCGGTCTGCCACTCCACAGGAACTGCCCCCGATGACCATGCAATGTTGCAGAGACATGTCAACCACAACAGCCCTACAACATCCATAGCCTTGAGATGCTCAGGACGGATCTCATCCGCCCCCGGTGCTACGCCGCTGTGTAGATGTTTGACTACCTCAGCAATTTCTGCCTCAGAGATTGGACAGTCCATCCCCAGGTCTCCCGGCTCTGGTTCCTCCTCGGAATGCGCGTAGGTGGGATTGAGGAGCTCCTCAAAGTATTCTGTAACCTCACGTAGATTTTACTAGAGGTGGTTCACATGAAAATCTTTGTGGTTTAACACCGAGTGGACCAGATCAAAAGATTCTAGACTCTGAGGAGCAAGTGGTGGAGTGACAACATGGAAAAAGCAAGGTAAATATAACAATGGTTTATTACCAGCATTTATAACCCACTTAATATATAACAAAGCGCTTTGTGAAATAAAATAAAATGAAATAAAATAAAATAGTAAAATGAAATGTCACCAGTCTGTGTTTGTTCAGTCCGTCAGTCAGCTTGACAAATGTTCATGAAATCCTTGTCAGTCAGATCTTGGGTTGAAGTCGAGTTCAGGTGAGTGACAGACCAGTTAATCACCGGCTTGATGGTTCGGTTGGGCTGGGGCTCGCCATCCAGAACTGGAACAAGAATCTTCAATTCACCGAGGTGAATCAATCCAAAATAAAAAAAACCTGACCTAGAGAAGGTCAGAATACAATATTTTAACGCTGAACTGTGGTTTACAATCTGCATTAGTCCCATGAAATCAATTCCTTTACAATTAAATCACACGTTGTACAACAATTAATTCAGTTCAAGTAGGTACCATAAGATAATGAAGTCACTAAATTACCAATAAATCAGTTGAAATGAGTTTCCAACAAGAAATTCTGTAATAAGCTTCAACTTCTTTTCATATCACAATTTTATAAACTGAGCAATATTGTTTTAATTGGTCATTTAAAACACTCATCACCTCCACATCTATAACCATCTTTCCAGTTAAGGTCAAACTGCAGGAACTAATATTTAAGTGCCAAGTTAGTTCTAACGGCTGTTGAAGGTTAGCAACGGGGCTAATATAGCTTAGCATGAATTAACACACATACACACTAATAGACTCACCAAGAAAAGTCAGCTTGGTTTACACGGGGTTTCCCAAGGGTAACGGCAAATCACGGTCTTCGGACCTCTGTATCTCTACAGCGTAACAAATAACTTGTCACTATTACACAGCAACAGTACCTAAACATGAAAATTTTATCCGCTTACCGAACTTGGAGTAATTGTTTTTCAAGTAACGGCTGCTAGTGCATCCTAGTTTGCTCTTCACGGCAAGTGCTTCCTCGTCAGCGTCTCAGCGCATCTGAAGGCAAGTGAAAGCTGCGTAGCGAGCAGCAGAAAGTGCTAAATTCTATTGGCTGATGCAATAGCTGGCTAGCCACGTGATTGGTTAGTCAGTTGCTACCTGAATTTTACTGGAACTTTCTATTTACTCGATTTTAGCTTTTCTTATTTGACTATTTTCAACAAGTTTGTATTTTCTTTTCTTTCTTTTTTTTAAACTATGAATGTATGAATGCTTAGATTTCTATTTATCTTATTTGGTCTTTTATCCTGTTTTAACTGTTTTGTAAATTTCCATTTATATTTCATTATTCATTCTAATTATGTAATGATGTTTCTATTGTAATCTGGGTTTTACACCGGGTTACACTGTCCCCTCTAGAATTATGCAAGTCCCTTTGCATAGAATCGCTAGACCTCAATTATCGGTGTGCTAGTGTTTGAAGGTGTAATGCTTGAATTTGCTTCAGATAATGCACTTGTGAAAGCTAAGTTCAATCCTTGAAACAAGGACTGTGCGATAGATACAAGAGGGCTTCCCAATCTACTGTATTGTAGCCTATTAGGTTGAGTTGTTGCTCTTTCTGAGCGTCTCAAAGTCTTTGGGGTTTCGCTTGCAGTATCTAACTGATTTCCTATTTCATCA